TCCAAATGTTCGCTCTTTTTCTCTCTAGTTTTCCGTGAGTGCTGCTCTAGCGGTGAGCCCCTCCTCGTTACCATAGACACCAAAGACTCTTGGCTGATGCGCCGTGAGCACACCCCCCGCAGTTGTGTGCTCCTCGGCTTTATGCTTCAGATGAGTGGCAGTCCAAGCATTCGACGGGGGTTCGATTCCCCCCGAACGCAGAACTTATATTCATTTTTTTTTGTTGTTAGTTTTGATGAGTATATGCCCAATACATAGTTTTTTTTGAGATTTTCCGCTGAAAAGTGCAAAGATTTCCATGTCTTCTACATGTTTGACTTTGAAAAATTTAGTTCCGGGTTCTCTATCTTCTTTTTTTTTAAATGTAGAACAAGTGACCAAGGAGTATAGTGATCTATTTCTTCTTCTTTTCATCGTCTTGTCTGTTAAATTTTTTCGATTTTTCTAGTTAAAAAGGGCGATGCAAACGCGCTCCATTGGACAGCCAATAAATAAATGGAATAAATATAAGGCAAAGGGGTTAAATATAGTGTTTTAACTGATTTTTCCTCAAAAAATCCATTTTTAAAATCATTTTTATCGATTTTCAGTTCACTCCGATGCCAAACGAGAAGGTAATTGTAACGGGTAAGTCTGAAAATTCTAAAAAAATTTAATTTTTCTTTATTTTTTAGGTTTTGGTCCATTCCGTGGATTCGAAGACGAAAATCCATCTTCTGTTGTTATAGATGAATTGAAAGCTAAAGGGATTGACAGTGAGTTTTTTAGGGCACGCCCACTTTTGCAATTTGCAGCTTTTCAGAAATTGACTTGGAGCTTCACAAGATTACGGTAGCTTACGAAGATGTGAGCAAGCGGGTCCCAGATCTTTGGAAGGAGCACAATCCAGATGTAAGATTTCAAAAAAAAACCCAAAAATAATTTTTTTTATTCAGCTAGTCATCCACCTTGGCGCTCACAACGTCTCCAAAACTATCAAGTTCGAACAACAAGCATTTGCAGATGGTTACTGTAGCAACGACGTCAATGGATGTACTCCAGAAGGCAATCGTACTACTTGCGCTTCTGATGAGCAATGCTTGAAGTCTTGTATCAATTGTGACGAGTTGGTTCGTGATGTAACTCAAAGATGTGGCCTGGATGGTGAAAAACAGTATGGAGGGCTGAAAGTCGAGAAGTCTGAGGATCCAGGAAGGTAAGCGAAAAAAGCAAAAAGGTTTTGGAGGGATGCGGAGTCGAACCCTCAATGTGAGATTGGTGGGCAAATCTCTAACCGGGGACACCACGCCTTGGTGGCCGCGCGGCAGCCACCGCCGCCATGATGTGAACGACTTATAGAGGTGTTGTCTCATTATGTGACGCGGTGGAGTGGCTTACACTTTTGTCCACCGTTCCATCACTCGCGAGTTCGACTCCGGGCACCGCTAATCTCTTTTTTTGTTGTTTTTTAAAAATAGTAATGTCTCATCCAGATACCTCTGCGGCTACTCCTACTTCCTATCTCTCCACGAAGACTGCTCAAAGTCACTCTTCATTCATGTCCCACCGTTTGAGTAAGCGCGCTCTATTGAGAAAGACTTTCAGAAAACGTTTCAGAGGAGAATGCACCAAGGAAGCGATCGCTGAGGTTATCCGGGAGACTGTCAAGTCGATTTTGGGATATTATTAGAAGCGGATATAATTTTTCGAACTGTGATATTTAGTTTATAAACTGTTTAAGCTTTTATATGTAAAAGCTTTTTATTTTCAATAAAAAATTATTTGAATCCATGAGGGTAATCAAGGATTTCTCAAAAAAAGAGATTTTGGAATCCGGCTAAATTTTCTCTTTTCCATTGAATCCAATAACATGTGCACAAGGTTGGGATCCATTTGTTGAATTCCTTCAAAATCTCTTTCCAGTTTCCATAGACTTGTTCTGGAACTGCTTCATTGTGATGTTCCAGTAAAAATCCATAATTTTTTCAAGTTTCCAGACGGGAATGGAGCATTGACTAAAACAAAAAATTGCTTGATTGAAGAGACAACTATTTTTTTACCTCTGACTTTGAAGCAATCTATCTCGATTCCTGTGATAGATATCAAAAAGCTGTAAACTAATAAAATATTACTGATATTATGGTAAACATTTTATCAGTTGACTACTTTTTGGTACCTTTTACAGGAACCGAGATAAATTGGGTGAAAGTTTGCACCCGCTTCGTGTTTGATTATCTAGATTCCTATAAGAGATATCAAAAATTAGTTAACTGTTAAAATTTTTATCATATTATCAACAACATTTTATTGGTTGACAAATTTTTGATATCTTTTATAGGAACCGAGATAATTGAGATCAATTGCAAGCCTACCGATCACGCGGTATTCCAGCCGTGAGTACCACCAAGCATCCATATGCAACAAAGTTGAAACAAACAACTTGAGCGTCTTAGGATTAAAAATTCCACTCGTCGACAAACAGCAAGAAGAATAAATACTAAACTCTAAAAATCGACGAATAATCGTAATTTCTTTTTTTTTCTTTCCCTCTTCCATTCAATCTATACGAAACAAGTCTCCTCTCCAACCCATTTATTGAATTGAACCGCTTAAATTAAATTGAAATGCATTACACCCCCAAATTGGTACATAAAAATGGGAACCCCCCAAATTTAGATAAATCAGTTATCAACAATAAAGATTACATTTTACTCTGGTTAATGTGAAAATTTAGCAGTTAGCATCCCGACGACTGACGACTCAATTCATTGCGATCTGGACCATCTCAATCGGAAACAAGCTTTGCTCCGTAGTAAAATCGAAGTCGTCAATGGGCGTGTTGAAGTATATCAGATTGTCGTGGGGATACCTCCGTGTGAGCTCGTACTGGGCATAATAATACTCGAATACAGTGATCTCCCTCCTTTCCGCCCTCCAATAGAACGATTATGTCTGAGCTCTGAAAACAAACATTTTCCCCTTTGTTTTAAAACTTTCCTTGTTTTTTTTTTCCCTTCTTCCTCCCCTTGTTGCTTATTCGAACCCAGTTTATCTTGTATTTCTTCTATCCTTTTTTCAACTATTCTCAATAAAATACATTTACCACTGAACCATCTGCGTTTCCACACCACCAGTTGCTAGCCTTTACACGCGGTGGGCGTAACTGCGCTCTTGCACTTGCACACTTTGATCTCCATTATCTCGGTTCCTATATTAGATATGAAAAATTGGCCAACTAATGAATTCTTTATCATACTGTCAGCAATATTTTATCTGTTGACAGATTTTCTATATCTCTTACAGGAACCTAGATAAATTAGCTCAAAGTATGAGCTAGTTGTCTTGAGATTTAAAAAACTGGTTAAGACAATTGAGCTTCTAAACGTTAAACTTCTAAATTTCAAAACTGCTTACCTCTTAAATCAGCAAATACCCAGAAAATATAAAAAAATAGAGAAGGAATATTCAGAAAAATCAATGAGCAACTTTATACTGTGCTCAGCAGCGGGTGAGGCTCCATTCGGAAGGTGCCTTCAAGGGAGGGGATAAAATTTCTGAATTGTACAGAGGTAGGTTAGGAGCGAGACGGGGGCGTGGCCAGATGGGCGGGGTTTATGCTGTAAGGCGAGAGTAGAACGGGGGTTCCTAGCATGTAATCCCTAGTAAGATAAAGAACCAGATTAGCCCTTCTCAGCAAATGCCACGTCATCAGGTGTTTTTATATCTCCTAATTACTCTAAATCTGTGCCCCCATGTGTCACAGGTATTTAAATTAGGAGAGAACGATGACTTGACTGATCCTTCAAATACTATTGTACTTTGGGAAAGTACAGTAATCTGGGTTTGTGGAAATCTAGGTGTGAGATGATGGACTAGTAAATCGCCCTTAACCAAACGATTGCACACTTTTTGTAGATTTTGAAAACAGTACAAAGTTTTTGAAAAATCTATTTATTCGAATTTTGGAAAAAAAGGAAAAATCATAAAAAATTTCCTCATCGGTGCTGGTGGCTTTCAGACGCATCCGGAAAAGTGCCCTTCTTGCACATCGGTCTTGCACATCGGAGTTCCATATCCAGAGTTTTATCTCTCCTGAAAAAAAGAAAATATAGTTTTTCTCTAACAAAATTCTTAGCTAAAAACTTAAAATGTACGATAAACTAGGTCCTGAGGAGATATGGCTCGTGGAAGCGACCAGGGACATACCGCTCTTTCCGGAGTCAAAACTCAAACAACAAGTTTTTCGTTCGCTTTGATATTATCCATTACAATTTTGAAATTCTACGAAACCAAGTTTAAAACAGTCCTAGTAATTTGATTTTTTAAGAGTGTACTGAACAAAACTAGAGCTTCATTTTTGTAGTTGACAACATTTTAGTAAAATTAGGTTTTGCAGAGATACGCCGCGCACTAACCTCACTAGTGGCGACGGCGCCTCGAGATACACGCACTTTTACTTACCATATCTTCTCAAAGCCTAATTTTACAAAAAAGTTGTCAACTACAAAATTAAAGCTTTAGTTTTAAGCTTCATTTTCGTAGTCGACAACTTTTTAGTTTCGGAATATTTCAATTTTCAGGATGCAACGCTGTTAGGCTGCTAGGCCCTTTGTTTCTTAGTCTGCTAAGCTGCTAGGCTGCTCACCTGCTCTCTAAATCCTCAAAGAACTTCAAAATTTTCAGAGATACCTCCGCTATCTCGACGACACACTCGAGATCATCTCAAACTTCCGCACTTTCGAATACAACCTTCTCGACTACTTCGATCAACAAGCCGATGCAGAGAATGCATAATTATCATAACTGTTCTTGGCCCTTTCTCTCTTTCTCTGTCTCTCTCTCTCTCTCTCTCTCTCTCTCTCACACACACACACACACCAATCTGTACTCTATACTGTTATCCATGATAATCATTGACACATGCCCTAATAATTATGAAATCACCAGTTTATTCGAAGAAATATGGATGAATCAAAAATATGGATGAATGGATGAATCACGAGAAAAATGTTTCTTTGATTTTCTAGAGGCCAAGAAAAGTTGTAAAGAAGGCGTCGACATGTATGATAAACGCCAATATTATCATGTAGTCGGTGAAGAGCGTCATACAAACCGTCAAGCGCTGAAAATATATAATTGCTTCCGAAAAATGAGTTTGGATATGCCAGAAACATGTGTTATCAGTCATTTCAAATATGTTAGGTAAAAAAACCAAAAATTTTGGAAAAAATATTTAAAAACCTAAGATACCATATTTCCTCTAATAGAGGCCCATGGGCTTCTATTTTTCAACCTCCTTGTCCGGGTAACTTCTGTTAGAAAAACGGCCCCCACTAGAGATTTGTCGATTTTGAGCGGAGCAGGAATATTCTAAAACGACAAAAATGAACGGAAACTACCAGAAAATCAACAAAAAATAACATTTTTGCAATAACCGAGAAGAAAAATATATACACAGCCAAGGTGGGCTTCTATTAGAAGTGGGCTTCAATTAGAGTGGGCTTCTATTAGAGGAAATACGGTATATGCCATTTTCAGCCCGGCAAAAATAGCAGAGACGTTCAGAACAACATTTTTTCGTATTGTTCAGCCTGTCGAAAAAACCGAATTTCGAAAATTTTGAATTTCGAAAAATCTCGATTTGCGAAATTTCGGAATATTCAGGTTTTCAAAATTTTAGAACTTCAGAGTTTTCGGAATGTTTCAATTTTCAAAATTACAGTTTTTGGATTGTTCCGATTTTTTAGATTTCGGAATATTCAGAAAATTTTGATTTTTAGAAAATTTCGGAATTTTGGAAATCTTGCTTTTTGAAACTTTAAAATTTTAAAAATTCGGAATTTCAAATTTTTGGGGATTTTTCGATTTTCAATATTTTTGTTTTTCAGGAATATTTGGGTTTTCAAACCTTTGAAATATTCCAATTTCCAAAATTTCGAAATTCCGGAATTTCGAAATCCTAAATTCCCTTCCGAACATTCCTGATAAATAGCCAAAAATCTCAATATTACCTTGTACTCGACCAGGTCATCCTCCTCAGCCACAGTCAGTTTGAGTTTTGGGTGAGGAAACAGTTTAAACACTTACCTCAATTGAATCGAATCACCTGTGGTTCCTGGAGATTTTTGTCTGCTCGCCTCAAAGCAATTCAAAATAGAAATATTAATACAAATACATAGAACAAAATGGATATTTTCAGGAAAAAATCAATGCAAAAGGCTCCTGTTCAGTAAAGGTGCCTAAAAATCTATGGCACGTACATTGCGCCTGTAGAAGATAGATTGATTGAATAAATTGGTTGGTGACATTGTCTAGACAGGAGGGTGAGAGAGTACGTAGCACTTGAGAGACGCTTACCAACTTTTTGGAAGACGTAAAGTGTACAGGCCAGACAGTGGGAGAGAGAGAGAGCCATAGGTCAGGCAGATGATATTTGACCTAATAGAAGGTTGCGGCCATTGAGGGTACTGTAATAGCTAGATTACAACGGTCTACCAAGGGCATGAACCTCCGTGACGTGATATCAGCCTATACGGTGCACATTGAGCTCAATTATCTCGGCTCCATTGAGAGATATCAAAAAACGAGCAACTGTCAAAATATTGCTGACATTGTGATAAACAATTTCAAAGTTGACTAAATTTTTATATCTCTTTTAGGAACTGAGATAATGGAGATTGAAAGGTGCGAGTATATAATTGGCGCAGGCGGAGGCGCCAACCGAGCAAACGGTAAGTGCCCACTTGGAGCACAATTATCTCGGTTTCTGTAAAAAATATCAAAAATTTGTCAATTGATAAAATATTGCTGACATTATGATAAAAAATTTATCAGTTGACCAATTTTTCATATCTAGCATAGGAACCGAGATAATTGAGCTCAAAGTGCATCGTACATGGGCTCGGTGTTTTCCCTGAAACATTTCAAAAACAAGTCTTTCTTCTGTGTAAATGTTTATTTTAAAAAAATATTTATATATGTTTCGATTCTTGCTCTTTTTGGTGGAATAGTCGGCGATGGGTGCTGGCATCGATCTTCCTCCACAATCGCACTTGGACGTTCATGATTGCAAGTGAGGCGAATCCCTCTAGCGGTTCTTCCGAGTTTAGAGAGAACTGTCCCATCGGTGTGTCGAAGAATTCCGAAAATGGCTCTTCATACTTCGTTGTGCTTTCTCCACTTTTCATCTCCCAACGGTTTAACCATTCTTTCCTCTCGCTAAAATCGCTCAACTTCAGGGGTTTCAAAGAGTGATTAGTAGTTTTTTATTGTTTTGAAATTGAGCGAGCATAATAAAAAATGCAGAGCTTCATTTCTGTAGCTAACATTTTTTCCACGAAATTAGGCCCTGAGAAGATATGCCACGTGGAAGTGAGGTAATAGAAACCATCAAAGTAATAGGAACCGGCTCCAATTCAGTAAAGGTGTCTGGTGAATAAATAGATAGGATATTCAGGAAAAATCAAAAATCTCTCTCTCTCTCTCTCTCTCTCTCTCTCTCTCTCTCTCTCAGGCCCTGGGTAGGCTGCCATGGACCGGTTAGTTCGATTATTTGAAACTACCATATCCTACCTATCTCAGAAGTACCGTAATCAGAGTTGAGATTGAAGAAGGGACCTGAAGAATAGGTTAGGCTAGATTTCATGATTATTGAAAAAATTTTTGTAGTTCCTGTATGAAATGTAGATGAAGCAACAGCTAGTTTTATAAGACATATATTTATTGGAAACAAAAATTACATAATTAAAAAAATTCAATTTAATATAGAGCTTCCTGTACGAGTTCCAACGACCTTCGAGCAATCTCATGTGAGTATCTTTCCTCCTATTTGATGATTCTTCTTAATTTGAGCAATTTCATTTTGGTGGCGGGCAAGCATCTCAGTGTGGAGGAAGAAACATCGGATAGTTCACGATGAAGTAAACATCTGAAATATTGCAAAATCATACCCAATTTCTATGAAAAATTCAACTCACTTCTCCCTCATTTGAGCTAATTCTGCATCAAAATTATTTCCAATCGGAACCATTTGTTCCTTGTAGTTCTCAATCATTCTCAGAAGCATAACTTTGACATTCTGCCGGATTTCGACAGGAAGCTCTATAATACTTCGATGTGCATATCTGGTACCCATCCAATTTTCATTTTGACGTAGTGACCATATATTACCTGAAAAGTTGTAAGAATTCGGTTGTTTTGGGTTTGCTAAAAAAGCCTACAGAAGAATCTAGACCGCTGTCTAATTCCTTCTGCCAGCTTTGTAAATTCCTTACTTACCAGTGTCTCCTGTGTCCTTATGCAACCATCCATTTTTCACTTTGACATAGTGACCATATATTACCTGGAAACTTACAAGAATTAGAGCGCAAAATTCTAAAATAGTTTTTTGATTTAATTTCAAATATCTTACCTCATATGAGGTATCACTCGACAACGGTTCTTCATCGCTAACGATTTCATCTTCCTCTTGAGCAACAACAGCTTCTGATTTGGCACGACAACTTCTTTTGGGTCTAGGAGCGTCGAATGAAGGACTACGCAGTCTCTCTGGACTTTCTTCTTTCTTGACTTTTCTTGGCCTTCCCCTTTTCACTGGAGGTGTATCTTTAAAAAAGGCTCATTTTCAAGTCACACTACAAAATACAAACCTTCAGCACGCTTCTTGGTCTTGTACACTTTTTTGACGTTTCTGGATGTAGATTGACTGGTACTCGGGCCTTGATCATCGTTCATCATCGGAATTGGGATCGGTTGGTTTGAATGTCTTGAAGTCAGCTTCAAGTCCTCTTCCTCCTCCACTTCTTTATTATCTCCATCAGTCTTCAAAATGAGCTCATTCTCGCTTTGGGTTCTTGCTTTTGCTCTGAAAACATGACATTTTTTGGGTTATGAAAGTGAAAAATCCAACTTAATGGCCTAACTTTTGCAAGTTAGTTGTTGCCACTAACTTAAAATGGCCTAGAATTAGTCTGATATTCGCTTGTTATCTTCTCTAGGTCGTTTTGAAGTGGTGGCCTAACTTGTTCAAGTTTAGTTTTATAGGCCACCATTTAAAAATGGTCCAGAAATGTCTTAACATGCACCTGGCGTGTTTTCCAGGTCACTTTGAAGTGGTGGCCTAACTTTTGCAAGTTAAATATTTAAGGCCGCCTCGATAAAATAACCTAGAAAACACACCATGAGATATCCATCTAGGTCATTTTTACATGGAAACCAAACTTTCAAAATCTGAAAAACACAACTTGAAAAAGTTAGGACACCACTTCAAAACGACCAAGAAAACGCACCAGTGTTAGACCTATTTTTTTTTCGAAAATACACAATCTCCTCCAGATGTTTACCTTTATCTATGTCCATGCGATATTCGCAGTATCCTGGTTAAAATCCACCACAGCCTTCTATCTCTCTCTCTCTCTCTCTCTCTCTCTCTCTCTCTCTATCTCTCTCTCTATCTCTCTCTCTCTCTCTCTCAGGTCCTGAAAAGTATTCCATGTGGAAGTGTGGGTACCTTGAGGCGCCACCCCCGCTTGTGCGCCTAGGAAGGTGAGCCTCTTCCACGTGACATATCTCCTCAGGACCGAACTTCACTAAAAAAGTTGTCAACTACGAAAATAGAGCTCTAGTTTTGTTTAGCCTATTCTAACATTTTCAGGTCAACCGGGCTATTTTAAACCTGTTTTGTAAAAGCTTGAAATTCGTCCGACTCACATTTATCTAGATCCATGCGCTATTTACCAGTATTCTGGTCAATATACTAAAAATCGATACACAGACAATAGCAATTGATTTATAGAATATAAAAATAGTAGAATTTCAGAAAAATCAGAGTAATAGAAAGCGGCTCCCATTCAGTAAAGATGCCTGATGAATAAATAGATTAGAATGTCGAGAAAAATCAGAAGGGGATATTTGAGGCGTTCACATTGCGCCTTGAAGGCTAGATACATAGAATGACCAGTCTCCACCAAAAAAAGACACTGGAGAGAGCGAAAAGACGCAGACTTGCTCTCCTCTTTTTGCCCTCTCTCTCTCTCTCTCTCTCTCTCTCTTTCTCTCTCTCTCTCTCTCTCTCTCTCTCTCTCTCTTCCCCTAAGCTGGCAGATGGTCCATTACGCAAGCGCTGAACGAAACGAAAATACGGAATACCCCAGAAATACCGTAATCAAAAATGCTGGGACCCTAATGAAGAGAAAGGGACGTAGAGGGATAGTCTGAGCTTGTTTGGTCCTTTTTTTATATTTTATATCAAATGTGGAGAGAAGCGATAGCTAGTTTTCACATAAAAAAGTTTATTCACAATAAAAAATAAATAATAATAATAAATCAATTTAATAACTTCAATGTGCATATCGGGCACCAATCCATTTTTCCCTTTGACATAGTGACCATGTAGTACCTGGAAAATTATACGAATTAGGTTTTTTTGGGCTTTGCTAGAAATAGCCTACAGAAGAATCTAGACAGCGGTCTTATTCCTTCTGTCAGCTTTGTACATTCCTTACTTACCAGTGTCTCCTGTGTCTTTATCCAACTCTACCAACCATTTTTCACTTTGACTTAGTGACCATATAGTGCCTGAAAAGTTATAAAAATTATCGTACAATCTCTAATATCATGTTTGAGCTCATTTCTCTCGACTCCTACAAGAGATACCAAAAAGGGTTCAACTGATAAATTGTTTATCATAATATCATAGACATTTTATCAGTTGACCATTTTTTGATAGCTGGCATAGAAACTGAGGTAATTGAGCTCAAATTTTGGATAACTCAGAAAAAGGTCTACAGAAGAATCGTTGACTTACCAGTGGCTTTTCCTACTATCCACTTGTATACTTCCATATCGTAAGTTTTCTATCTTGGATTTTGAGAAAATCTGCAAAATTTCGAATTAATTATAATCGAGAAAAATTATTTTCTTACATTTTCTAGTAATTCCAAGAATAAATAAAAATCGTTTTTTTTCAGAACAATAGAGAAATTGGAGGCTCGTGCATTGTGCCAAGGGAAACGAATAGATAAGAATGAGTGTTTCGGAAGGGTGGCGTCTCTCTTGGAAGAGCGTCTTAGAGAAGATAAGAAAGGTTAGAGAGTGTTAGGCGCCAAGAGGGTGCAGAGAAAAAAAGATAAATGGGTTTGGTGTCCCCAGTAAACAAAACCCAGGGGGTCTCTAGTTTGAAGATCACTTGTTTTGAACAACAACAAAACCAAGATTTTTAGAGTGGATAATTTATTTCAGGTGGTTTAAAGGACTCAAGAATCTTACTTATATATAAAACGCTGCGACGCGCGTCTGTTGGTCCCCCTGTCAGTCTGTGGACTTTTCAAAATCTTGAAAAACAAAAACAGCTTTACGTGACTCTTGAAGAAAAAATGAGAAGTGGAGCGACGAAAAAGTATAGTTTAGGTCAAATCGCGCCGGAGGCGCAGCAGCTAGCAGGTTAAAAAATAGAAACATAAAATTAAACTGGCCCGCTCTGTTCCTGTGTGCCTATGTGAATGTAACCGTCCCTATATAGACGGTTTCCCGCTGTGAATAGAAACGAAGAAAACTAACCTGTTATCCTTTCCTCTTCCTTTTGTAGTCGATGCACCAACAAACAGACTGTCTCTGTTTAGAGAATATAATACTAGATGAGATCAGTGGTTTCCACTATTTACACTAGTCTTCGGACAGCCGTCCTTCCCCCGTCTCTCCAATCTCCTCTAACTCTTCCAATCACTGCATGACCTCTATCCTTCATTTCTTCTCTCCATCTTCCTGCCACTTGTCCTCCTGGCTCCATCACACCTTAACACTGCTCCTCTTCATGAACCTTGTCCGTCTTCATCCTTCATTTACAGTGTAAAGTTTACACTATCAGTTCCGCGCCTTGGCTCCACGCCCTCGTCCAGACCTCGACAGGTGTTCGTCGGAAAAAAAAATGAAACCATGGTCCTGGACCTTTGAAGATATGTTTTTTTCATATGATTTGCTTGTTAATATCAGCACAATCCTCATCAAATTTCGTCCAGTAACATTAATTTTAGGTTTTTCAAAGTTTCAGATCCTTTGACTTTTTTTTCCAATCGTTCAATTATCCCCTTGTGCGGTCCAGCCATCACCATGTATTCTTTTTAAGACAGCACAGAAAGTATACTGTATTGAAAACTCAAAGAAGAATGTTGTACAACCTTATTGATATTCCGCCCTCGCATGCGAAAAAGGGCTATAATTCTCCCACAGCCATCTCGCCTATAAAAGAAGACAGAATTTGTTCTAAAAAAGCATTCCAAATGTGGACAACACCTTCTATTCTCCTTCTTCTCCTTATCGGAGCCTCTTGGGTTTCTGGTTATCCCCCAGGAGACACTCAGCAGATCATTTGGGACTATTTGAATAACACATCGAATCCAGCGCTGGCTTCAAGGGATCCAGTTCAGATTGAGAAAATCTTGTATAGATCGTTCTTGTTCAGAGGGTGCAAAGCACATTATAAGAAAGGTATGTGATTAAATTCGGAAGTTCTTGAACCACTGATTTGATTTGGCACTGATTTGAGCTGATTTGAACACTGACAAGTTTGAGCTCAATTGTCTCGGCTCCTATAAGAGATATCAAAAACTGGTCAACTGATAAAATGTTTTTCGTAACATCTGCTCCATTTTATCAGTTAACAGATTTTGATATCTCTCACGAAAATTGAGATAATTGGGCCCAAAGTGCAAGCATAGTAGTGGCGCAACCAACGGCGCCGACCGCGTAGCTCAATAGCAGCGCGGACTTTGAGCTTTATTATCTCGGCTCGTACAAGAGATATCAAAAATTTGTTAAATAATAAAATGTAGAAAATATTATGAGAAACAATTTATCAGTTGACAAATTTTTTATATCTTTTACGGAAATTGAGATAATCAGCCTCAAAATACAAGTATAGTGGCGGGCGCAACCCCCGGCGCCGACCGCGTAGCTCAATAGTAGCATGCACTTAAAGCTCAATTATCTTGGCTTCTATTAGAGATATTAAATTTTGTTAACTGATAAAATGTTTTTCATAACATTTGCTACATTTTATCAATTGACAGAATTTTAATATCTCTCACGAAAATCAAGATAATTGAGCTCAAAGATAAAGTATAAGGTAGCGCGGTCAAAGTAACTATAAGAGGTACGGTATTCAGAGCTGTATGAATTTCGAGTCACGACCTTGAACCAAAAAAGGAATTTGAACTACTTCAAGATCAAAATCAGAGGGAATCTCTAAACCTGCTTGACCTCTTCTACCTAGTGTATGTATAGTGATGGTGCAACCACCGCCGCCGACCGCGTAGCTCAATGGCAGCGCGGACTTTGAGCTCAATTATCTTGGTTCCTATTAGAGATATTAAACATTTGTCAACTAATAACATATTTCTGACAATATGATAAACAATTTATCAGTTGACATCTTTCAAAATCTTCAACAGGAACCAAGATAAATTAGCTCACAGTTCAAAGTAATGGAGCTCTGATCTATCCCATAGGTACCGTAATCACAAAAACTTGTTTTTCAGCCAACGCCATCAAAATCATTGCTGCAATGCCTCGTGAAATCGATCTGTCCATGAAAGTAATCTCGACCACTTGGCTTCCAAATGACCATATCCAAACCATGCTTGTCGTTCCAAAACAACTTTTCAACGGAAATCCCGATGCTCAATTCGAGTATTGCACCCATTACAATGTCTGGTGGGGCGGACAAATTCCATGGTGTTCACTGCCATTCGGTTACGAGTCGGATGCTGTCTCGGAGGATGTACAAGAGTACCTGGTTGGAAAATCTTTGCCCCAAGAAGAGGGCGCTCCAGAGGATCCGAAAGCTGTGGTCCAGAAGTTTCTGGGAGAGCTGAAGGAAGTCATCGATTCCAAGGATTCTGGAAGAATCGGAAAACTGTTCGACGACAACTTCTTGTTCAAGGGATGTCTGGGATCTTATACCAAGGGTGGGAAAACCTGAGAATTCGGAAAATCTAGAAATGATCCTAAAATTACAGAAGACGTCATCCAAAAGATAAACGCTCTTCCAGCTGGCGTCTCTATGGAGTTCTCATTAGAGTCTGCAAAATGGGCAATCCATGGGCAAATCGAGTACATCGTGTCTATTGCTGGACCAGGAATGGACAAGATTCATGCTCAATTTGTTTATTGCCCCTACACAAACGTTTTGAAGTCGGGAAATGTGCCAAAGTGTGCCTCTTATTGATTTTTGTGGAATTTTGTATGGAATAAATATATTTGAGAATCATCTATCAGTTTCAATCAAATTCAAAATTTCCGAATACTCTAATTTTTGACTTTCTTTTGTACCCATTCATTGAGGGCATCGAAAATCGGAAACAATATTTTTGGAGACTCTCTTCCACGTGGCATATCTCTTCTATATCAAAATTTACAAGAAAGTTGTCAACTACAAAAATGAAGCTCTAGTTTTGTTTTGTATATTCTGAAATTTTGTAATTGGTCGGACTGTTTTAAACCGGTTTCGTAACTATTCAAAGAAGCAAAGTTTTCCAATCAATTTTCAATTATGGTAGACAATTTTTAGGTCCATGAGTATTAGCTGGAAAAAAATTTTTAAAAATTTAAGTACAAATCATTTAAATTTATAGATTACCTGAAAATAATTTTGCGACTTTTGAGTTTTGCTGAAAACTCGCAAGTAGACTAAATAAAACTAGGGCTTCATTTTACTAGTGGACAACTTTTTTGTAGAACATCAGCTAGACGAGATATTCCACGTGGAAGTGTTACAAGACACCGGCGCCACCAAGCGCGCGCTAGGGAGGCTTCTTCAACATGGCATAACTCTTTTAGTTCGAATTTTACAAAAAAGTTGTCGACTATAAAATTGAAGCTCTAGTTTTGTTTAGTATATTCATAAGTTTTCAAGTCTGTGAACAATTTTTTGGCTTATCAATGAAGGCTGAAAAAAGATATTTAGGTGATCAACCGACACCCAACCTAATCCCGCCAAGTGGGTAACATTGGATTACGGTATCCAATTTTTTCTGTCTTCGGGAATCCACGAAAAGTTTCAACACATTTAAAATATTCTTAAATCAATTTATTGAGTCAAAAGCAGAGATTCAAGGACATTTATAAAGTTGTCCAGCCACGAGAACATTTTTGGTCAAATCCAGAAGAAACATGGTACGCTCTCTACCCATAATCGAAATGATATCCACAACCGTTTCGATTTGTCCGTTTGCCAGGAATCTCGAAGAGACGAAGTTGATCGAAATTTTGAACATTGATGGAGCACTCGTTATTTTGGCGATAGCAGCGGCTGAAAATTTTGGGGTTTTAGGATTCTTAAACTGTGAAAATTCCAAGATCTCACCTTTATCTTCGTATCCATTACAAGTGTTAAACTTGAATTCATCGTTAAGAAGGCTGGCGAGTTTTGTGCCGTCTCTTGCATCTACAGCCGGTTGCATTATTGCCAAAAATTGCTCAACGATCGAGTTGGAATCTAATTGGCTGTCTGGAAAAAATATGTCAACTTTTGGTTCCTTACAAAAGCGGTTCCAAAATTTTGGATAGTTCTGAAAATTTGCAAGTACACCAAATAAAACTAGGGCTTCATTTAATTAGTTGACAACTTTTTTGTAAAATTTGGTCCTGAAGGGATACGGCACGTGGAACCTGTAAGCGTCACCAAGCGCGCTTTCTGAGGGAGACCTATTCGACGTTTCATCAAATTGTACAAAAAAGTTCTCAACTACAAAAATGAAGCTCCAGTTTTGTTTATGATATTCTCAAATTTTCAGACAAATTAGTCATCTTTTAGCCTTTTTTGTAGTTTAAAGAAATTGGACGGCCTAGACAAGACTCAATGGCGATTCAACTGGCGGGACCTCAGAAGACGGTTTCTCACTTTTTGGATTTTCCAGAAAATTTCAGAGTAGACTGAACAAAACTAGAGCATTATTTTACTAGTTAACAACTTTTTTGTAAAATTTGTTCAAGAACAGATACGGCTCGTGGAACCTTTAGGCGTCGCACAAGCGCGCTCTTGGGGATACTCTCTTCCACGTAGCATATCTCCTCTAGGTCAAACTTTACAAAAAAGTTGTCAACTACAAAAATGGAGATCTAGTCTTGTTTAGTATACTCTAAAATTTTCAGACAAATCAGTCATATTTTAGCTTTATTTTTTGCAATTTGGAAGTGGGCGGTCTAGAAACGGCTCAATGGCGGCTCAAGTGGCAGGACCTAAGAAAGAGGGTTTCAAACTTTTGGATTTTGTTGAAAATTTTAGAGTATACTAAACAGAACTAGAGCTTCATTTTACCAATTGAATGCTTCTTCGTAAAATTTGAGCTAAGCGAGATATGGCGCCTTACCTTGACAAAGTGGAATTCCCCCGGACACCAGTTTCTGTGTTTTTTTGTTCAAAACGAATTCCGCTTGCATGTCCATTGCTCCCATTCCTACGATTTGTACAGTATACTTGACTGTAGATTCCTGATCGTTGACTTCCATCAGATTAATTGTGAATTTAGTTCCTGCGGGGAGTTTGCCAAGTATTTTGATGACTTGTTCTGGAAAACTTTTAACTTGGCTACCGTACTCCATCGTTCACAGAAATTTACCTTTTGTATACTTTCCTCGGCATCCTTTAAACACAAAACTATCTTCAAAAAGTCCCGAAATCTCTGCATAATTCTTCAATGCCGTAGCCTTCGTAACTCTATCCAAAAAGTCATGAACCATTTCCTCAGCTGTGCCTAATGGTTTTCTACGAGGGACAGAACCTATCTCATTTTTCAGATATTTTCCACTTTTCAGACTGAAGATTCTGGTGTCCAAAACAAATGAGGTCTCGAATGGAGCGGGTCCCAATCCGGTGACTGTCACACCAATATCAACTTTGTTGTCTTTTTGAAGGGATCCGATTTTATGTAATTTGAAAGAGAATTGGTGGTTGTGAGGAAGACGTGACAGGATTCCGACGAGTTGACGCTTATTATAGGTTCCTCTCATTCCTTCATATTCAAATCCTTCATCGAAATGTGTGCCTATCAAAATGGCATTTCCTGTCTCAATATCCTTTGTCAATTCATCTAAAAAGTTATCGATTTGTCCTTTGATCCCATATTTAGCAGTAACAAGCCGACGCCTTTTCGGGCAGACCATACTAGCCTTCTCGATTTTCTGATCCTTCTTACTCAAGACAAACTCGAATTCGACATGAATCGTGGCTTTGAATCCCTCTGCAATTACCACTGTCTTAATTGAATCTCCAAGGTCTTGCACTGATTTGAATGTGTATGCCAGATAAGCTTCCGCTGGGATTTGCATGAACATCTCAACAGATTGATCTCGATCATAGGTTGCTTTGCATCCGATGAACTTGAAATCAGGTTGGAAGAGATTCAGAAGAGCTGTGGAGTCTCTGGATGTGATAGCAGCTTTCAATCGATCCAGGAATGCCTTGACTTGTTCTTCTGGAATGCTTGCGATGAATTTTCGGAAGAATCCCATCAAGTGTTGACAAGCTGGAATACTTCCAGAATGAAGTTGTTGGTCGTGGATGTTCAGAATGAATTCAGCGATGATTGGAGATGGTCCGAACCCAGAGACAGATACCGAGTACTTGATTTGATCGGTTCCGAGGGTGACAGCGGATTGAAGGGTCATGGAGAATGAAGTACCAGCTGAGAGATGGCTCAGGATTCCGACCACTTTTGCTGGAAGATTTGACGCTTGTATACAAGGCTGTTTGTTGGTGTGTCAGTATGAAGTTAACACTGTTAGATGTAAAAGTTTATGAGGAATCAATTGGTATAAGAATCAAAGCTGTATCTTGATTTTGAAAAGATTTATAAGCGTTATTCTGTTGCATGGTTCCTAGGAAAGCAATGTTGTTCAAGTCGCGAAATCAGTGCGTACTTTCGGAAATACGTCATCCAGAAACTATTCGGGTCATGAGCGCTACCTATCCCAAAAGTACCAAATTCAAAGTACTGGCCGTTCCCTAGGACCACAAAATTTAACTTCAAGAGAAATTTCAGGTTCTTTTTGATCTCAGAATGCTTTCAGTTTACGCTGGGTTCTTTTTATCCAGAATCCTTAAAATCTAGCCGACTACTCACCTTTATTATAATCTCCTTTGCATCCATTAAATTCAAATCCTGGATTGAAAAGTCCACTGATCACAGCAACATCTCTCGAATCCACACTTCTCTTGATACGATCCAAGAACCTCTTGGCAACTTCCACAGGACCATCCGATTCGAAGAATGTGAATTCTGGATCATCGGGAACAAACGCCCAAGAAGCTCCAACTAGAAGAAGGAGAAGAATAGAAGACCGTTTCCACATTTTGAGAATGGAATGATTTTTTTTTGGGGGAAGGCTCTTTTATAGCTGGGTCGTAAATCGAATTTTAGCCAAAAACTTTTAGCATGTGGGGGTGGAGCATGGGAACGGGAGGAAGAGCGATAGGGACACGCCAGCTATATGGGTTACTGTAGTTGTGAGCGTTTGAGGAAGAAGGATTCTGAATCCTGAATATTCGGGTTAAACAATCACTAGTTAAAAATCAATCAAAAATATTTATGTTGGCACAGTTACAGCCTATTTTGTAGTTCCTATATTAAATGTAGGTGAAGCAACAGCTAGTTTTATCAGTCAGAAGTTTATTGGAAACAACAATTGAACTTATATTTCCTGGGTGGTCATGTATGTTTGGCTGATTATGGCATTCGAGCTCTTTATGAGTTCCTTATGTTTCAAAGTCGCTTTTTTCGATGAACAACAAAGAAGAGATTTTTAAGAGGTTTAGAATTTATTTCAGAAAAATAATTTGGTGAAATATGGTACTTGTAACATCTATAAAATGAGTCTTATTTCCTAGCGATGTGTCCATTGAAGCTCCGTCTTAAACCCATCGGCTCGAATCGACATACTCCAGTGGAACTACAGGTTGGAACCTGTTCGGTTGAACAGTAAGACAGCACCTCAAACTTGGGTAATTAAACCTTTATTCCAGGAAAGATAAAGAGTAAAAGAGAAAGTATAAAAGGAAAAGGTTGGTGGAAGAGGGACACATGTCAACCGCTTCTCACCCGAGCAATAGTGATACAATGAAAGGGGATGGTGCGCGGGTCCTAGGGGGCGTGGCCTTAGAGAGAGAGAGAGAGAGGGTGGAGATGCCAGGCGCAAGGTGTGGCTGGTAAAGGGCAAAGGGGAAGAGACAAATATGACATTTAATGGTCATAAACAGAGAAAAAAAGTGGGTAATAAGAAGGGTCATAAATGCAATGGATGGGAAAGAATTCAAATGTACCATAGAGTACTGTAGCTACTGTAGAATCGAAAGCTACTCTTTCGACACTCCGTGGGATAAGAAAGGAAGAGAGAAGGAAAGAGAAAGAAGAGAGAATTAGAGTAGAGAGGAGGGGATTACAATTGAGTTGGGATTCATAGGAATTTACTACGGGCTAGGATCTTCCTGTTCCTGCGACGCTGGGCTAGATATCGGGACAAGATTCTACGGAGAATCAGAAGGGTTAGAACGCAGGCAGCAAAAATGCTGACAAGGATGATGAGGGTGGAAAACTGATCAAAGATCGAAAGGGCAATATTTCGGAGAAACTTACCGATTTCCAAGGATCCAGCTGCAATTCTCTCAAATGGCGACGAGTAGTGTGTGCTGTTGGTGTCGAATGCACTGAGAGTATCTAGTTCGCCGTTGATTTCCATGTGAGTCCGAATTCCGCAGTCGACGGAGCAGTTCATGGATACGGCATTGGAGTCATGGGCGATCTTGATTTGGTTGATGGGTCCGAACGGGTCCGAACGGGTCGCATTGAAGGATCGTATCGAAGACTCTACAGTGGAGCAAGGCTTTCATCGGCTTCTTGGCTGAGCATTGGATAGAGACGGATCCTCCTTCGAAGCATGACTGGCATCCGATAAGGTCACCTTGTTGGCGGGCTTCACATTTCTGAACGGTCGTCATCCTGGAGATGGTGGAGTTCCGTATCTCAACTTGGAGGGCGACGAGGGTGTCTTGGACAGCGACGGTGGCGATGTGGTTGTTGATGATCCTGACTTCGTGGTGGATTCCTTTCATCGGGAGGAGATTCTTCTTCTTGTAGTCCTTCATCTTCAGATTCCTGCATTGGCAGTTGACTTCAGTGGCGAAGCCTTCGAATTTGCAGAGGGACTGATCGAATTGGCAGTTGAAGTCTTCAGCGTCCTTTCTGGTGGCACATTGGAGTTCTCCAGTGAACCCTTTCGCTGGCGCTCCAGGGGCAGAAGGAGGAGTGAAGGTGAAGGATGTCCAGTGGGGCACAGATGATCCAAGTCCATAAGAGTAGTATAGTAATGCAGGATTATAGTACAGGTTTCACCCCCCTCCATTTCTCACTTTTTCCAAAAACAGCCGTTTTCAAGCAAAAAGCAACCCATTTCATGCAAAAAAGCCTAAAAAACAGCATTTTTAGCCAATTTTGACTTTGTGCGAATTTCACACACGTGTGCGAAACGCAGGGAATTTACCGTTTTTTGAAAAACCCCTATTTTCACCTGAAGTTTGCCAATTTTATGGTGTTATTAAGAAAAGTTGCGTCAACAAAACCACGGCGGAAACAAGAAATTTCCCCCTAAAACCCCCTTTCCCACTTTTTCGTAATCACTGAAACCTCAATTTCTGTCTCTGAAGGAGACAACTGATAAGAAATTATGTATACTTAAACACTTTTTCAACTCTCTTATCAGAGATGAATGTGGAGGAGTGAACTTGGAGCGGTGGTGAAGTGAGTCCGACAGCGGTGATGGAGATGTTCGAGTTAGGAAGTGTGTACTTCGATCCGGGCGAGAGCTCTGTAGACATCCGGAGGCTGCTAAGCTCGATGCTGATTCTGAGTCTGGGGGTCCATGTGGGACATTGGAAGATCTCGTATATCCCTGCCTTTGACTTCACTTAACTTTTCCATTGACAAAGACAATGTTTTCCGGTTTCACTAAAAATTTCATCCGATGAGCATTTCGAAGTGCTGAATATGAGGGAAATCAATGATATTGGGCAAGTATATTAAACAAAAATAGCTCTCTATTTCTGTAGTTGACAACTTTCCTGTAAAATTGAGTCTTGAGGAGATATGCCACTTAGAAGCTTGGGTAGGCGCGCCGCCCTTGGAAATATGAGCCTCTTCGACGTGATATATCTCTTCAGGACCAAATTTTACAAAAAAGTTGTCAACTACAAAAATGAAGTTCAAGAATAGAGCTTCATTTTTGTAGTTGACAAGTTTTTTGTAAAAACAAGTCCTAGGGTGATACAGTACCTGAAATAGTGGCATGGGTACCGCCCGCGCCAAAAAGAAGAGGGCGCTTCCACGTGGCATATCTCCTCAGGACCAAACTTCACTAAAAAGTTGTCAACTACAAAAATGAAGCTCTATTTTTACTTAGTCTATTCTAATATTTTCAAATCAATCGGATAAGTTTCACACAGTTTTGTAAAAGTTACAAATTCGTCAGTCTTACCTTGCTTTGAATCCAAGAGAAGTGTTCCAGTTGCCAAAAAATAAATTTTTAGGATTTCAGAATAAATTTAGTGGAATTCCAGAAAAATAATTGGTCAAAAACCATCCATTCAGAGGATTCAACAATAGTATAATTTCCGAAAAATCAAATATATAGAAAGCGGCTCCCATTCAGTAAAGGTGCCTGGTGGATAAATACAGGGTGGCTGAAAAGTATTGAGACACTTGTTTTTTGTTGTATTTTCAAAAATGGAGTTTCAACAAAAGAACCAGATTTATTTTTTCAACAAATGATAGTAATAGAAAAGATATCAGAGGAGATATTCGAAGTTTGAGCCTTCGGCCTTGATGCACGCCTTCAAACGAGCTGGAACAGAAGCGACGGTGCGCCGGAGGTAGTCATCGTCAAGATCATCCCATGCTTTGAGCAAAGCGGCTTTCAGTGAATCCACATTTGGGTGCGATCGAGCCATCACCTTTTCCTCCAAATATCCCCAAACGGAAAAGTCGAGTGGATTCAGATCGGGCGAGGAAGCGGGCCACATGTCCTTGCCCCAGTAGCCAGGGAAATGAGCGTCGAGAACAGCTTTCGTGGATTTCGAGCCATGGGACGGGGCCCAATCTTGTTGAAGAATGAAGGGTTGCTGGCCAAAGTGGCTAGTGACCCACGGACGTAAAACATCCATCAACACCAACTTTTGGTACACATCCGAGTTGATTTTCACATTTCTATCAATGAAAACCAATGGGACTTTACCTTCCGACGTCAATCCAGCCCACACCATCACTGACTTTGGAAAAAGTCTCTTGTAGGCCAGACGACGTTTTGGGGACTTTGCGTCGTCCTTTGACAACAATTGCCGAGCATTCTGTCGGTTCGGAAGCGGCTCAACCAACTGTAGATTAGAATATTGAGAAAAATCAGAAGGGGATATTTGGGGCGCTCACATTGCGCCTTGGAGAGTAGATATATAGAATGACCAGTCCGCACCACTGGACACTCAGGAGAGCACCAAGACAAAGAGACGCAGACTTTTTTCTCCTCCTCTTCTCTGTTTCTCTATCACTCTCCTTTCTCTTCTCCCTCGTCAAATGCCGTTCGGAAAAGGAGAAAACAACAAGAGTGGACAGCGGGAAGGCATGATCTCCTCTTCTCCCGCACTATTTCTCCCAAAAGTGTGCAATGTGGCGTGACGGTGTCCGCACAGACCCCTCCCCTACGAGGTGGGATTCTTCGTCGGCACGCCGTTCGGTTGTACCTAAATTTTTACTCTTTTCAGCTTGTTTTTTGAGTTTTAGAAGATTCGAATTTTAATTTTATTGAAGTGGGGGAATAGAAGAATGGTTAGCACTAGACTTGTGGTCCAAAAATTGCAATAAAATGTGTACGCCCTGTCTAATATCCTTATACAGTGTGTTTCAATATTATACGTCCACTCTTGTTTTTGGCCGTAACTTGAGAACCGGTTGAGATATCAATCTAATTTTATTAAAATTGAATTCAGAGCAACAAATTACATCTAGAAAACCATTTTTGAGAAAAAATATTGAAAACTACTCGAGATACAGAGAAAAATCTGAAAATGTGACATTTGCAACCGTTTCAAAATTATACGTCCACTTCAAAGGTATGTCGATCTTGACCTTTGGCGGATCCGGAAAAGCTTGAATTTAGTTTTGTTTTTTGCTGCCAATGTGAGAAACTTTTTTCATTATGCTTTTCCTTGTTTTTCTCCACTTTTCAACATGTCTCGTGGCCATTTGCTCACTGATGCTGAAAAAGCCTTCATCGACGCGTTCAAAACCTCTGGTTGGACCAACAGGGCTATCGCGAAACATCTAAATCGTTCCCACGATTGCATTAATCGTTTTGTATCGAACCGGACCCGCAACAATCAACCCAACAAGGCTGGACGTCCTCCAAAACTCAATTCAAGAGCCAAACGATCAATCGTTCGTGTGGCTTCAAACACCATGAAGTCTTGTAATGATATCAAAAAAGAGCTGAATCTTGGAGTGAGCAAGTGTACAATCTGGAGGGCTCTTAAGGATGATCCAAACATCAAAAGAGCAGTCATGCGCCCTGCTCCGAAGCTCACTGACAATCACAAAACTCGCCGTCTCGACTTCGCTCGAAAAAACATGGGAACCAACTGGGATAAGGTATTAAATTTAAAATTATCTATCCAAATTATCTTATCTTTTACAGGTAATTTTTTCGGACGAGAAAAAATTCAATCTTGATGGACCCGACGGATTCAAATCGTACTGGCACGACTTGCGGAAGGATCCAGCCGTTTTTGCCAAAAGGAATTTCGGGGGAGGCAGTTTGATGGTATGGGGAGCATTTGCTTCGGCTGGATACTTGGAGCTCGCTTTCACCACTTGTCGAATGAACTCCACAGACTACCAAGACGTTCTCCAGAACCACCTTATCCCGTTTCGTCGTCGATTCAGTCGCCGCCAGTTCATTTTTCAGCAAGATAATGCTGCAATCCATGTCAGCCGCTCCACTTTGGACTGGTTCCAATCGAAAAACATCGATGTCTTGCCATGGCCAGCTTGCTCTCCAGATCTGAATCCGATGGAAAATGTTTGGGGCGAGCTGGTTCGTCGTCTTTACCGCCATGGAAAGAAGTATGCTAGTATTGGAGAGCTTCGGGATGCGCTGATTGCTGAGTGGAGTCTGCTGGAGCAGGAGTTCAAGACTAAGAGCACCCAATACATCCAAAACCTTATCAAATCGATGCCAAATCGTCTCTTCGATGTCATTGCTGGTAAAGGTTCATCCACAAAGTATTGAAATATTTTTTATTCTCTATTTTAGCATTGATTCTGAGAGTGGACGTATAATTTTGAAACGGTTGCAAATGTCACATTTTCAGATTTTTCTCTGTATCTCGAGTAGTTTTCAATATTTTTTCTCAAAAATGGTTTTCTAGATGTAATTTGTTGCTCTGAATTCAATTTTAATAAAATTAGATTGATATCTCAACCGGTTCTCAAGTTACGGCCAAAAACAAGAGTGGACGTATAATATTGAAACGCACTGTATCTTACATCCTTAAACCTAGGTATCTCAAATGGTCCTAATCCTAAAATTGTCCTCGTTTCTTTCGCTTCCCTCTGAATTCGCATATTTTCAAACCCCTTAATCTTTTCAGATGGCTCCACGGACCAAAAAGAAGGCGGCTCCAAAAAAGAAGGCGCCGATCAAGAAGAAGGAGGTAACCGAGGACAACTCTAGTTACGTTTGGATTTATGGAGAGCCAACGGTACGTTTTTTAAGCCCCACAAAAATTCTTCTGAGTTTTTCAAAATTGCTAAAAAAAATTCCTAGTAGATTAAAAAAAATATAGAGCTCAATTTTTGTAGTTGACGACTTTTTCGCAAAAAACCGTCCAAGAGAGATATGCGACGTTGAAGCTCTCCTTCCTTGCGCACTAGGCTAGTCGCACGAGTGGCGGAGGCGCCTGGAGGTGGCATATCTCCTCGGAACCTGATTTTTCAAAAAAGTTGTCAACGACAAAAATAAAGCTCCAGAATAGATTTTTGTGGTTAGCAACTTTTTTGTAAAAACAGATCCTAACGAGATATGCCACGTGAAGCTTGGTGTACCTCCTGGCACTGGCGCCGCTTGTGTTGTCAGCGCGCGCTCTCTTCAACGTCCTATATCTCCTCAGGACCGGATTTTTCAAAAAAGTGGTCAACTACAAAAATAAAGCTTAAGAATAGAGTTCCATTTTTGTGGTTGGCAACTTTTTTGTAAAAACAGGTCCTTACGAGATATGGGACGTTGAAGAGAGCGCGCGCAGGCAACACGAGCGGCGCCGGCACCTGGAGGTACTCCAAGTTCCACGTGGCATATCTCCCTTGGACCTAATTTTAAAAAGTGTTTAACTACAAAAATAAACCTCTATTTTTGTTTAGTCTATCCTGAGATTTTCGAATGAAACGGAAAGGTCTGAACCCCTTTTCTTGATGCTCAAAGTTGACCGATTTTCCAGAACTAATTTTTCAAAGAAACTAAATTTTTTAACCAAGTTATTTTCTCTTCCAGATCAAAGAAAAGTGCTACGAGTTCCACAAAGATCTTCAGGAGCACATTGAGAAGGTGTTCTTAGATAAGAAACCGAATTGCAAAGTTTATATCTACGGCAAAATTTGGGTACTCGACTTTGCGAAAATGACAGAACACAACGCACAGAAACAAGTGACTTGGCCAATTAAGTGAGTTTTCTAAGCCACCAATTTGGGATTCTAGACCATCAACTTGTTCCAGAAGAGTCCGTACGTCCCAGTTGAAACGACTTAAATGCAGAGGAATCGCTGGAACTGATTACGGTAATTCTAATAGAAATAAATCTAGAAACTTTGGAATTTTAGAAGTGAAACCCGCCCACGGCTTCTGGCAAGACGACGATCATTGCAACGCTTGCTACTACAAATCAACAATTCCAACTCGTCTCTCTTGCGGACACGTCTTCTGCTTCCAGTGTCTCAGATGTGAGTTTATTTAATTAAATTTAGCTTTCAATTATGAGATTTCAGGCAACTGGATCCACGGCAGAGATTGTCCAACGTGCCGTATGCAGTATTCCCGAGAAATGTTCGTTAGACCGACAAGATCCGATATCGATTTCCACATGGAATGTCCACCGGGATATCAGGAAGATTGTGCAGGCGTACTTGGACCGGCGCCGAAAACCAGTGCTCGCAGAAATCCGCCAAGAGGGCATGGAGGGGAACCCGAGAAGTACTATTGGATCTATGAGGGGGTAGGTATCAAGAGCTATAATCTCCAAAAATTTTAATTTCTGACTTTGGAGCTAGATCCAAACAATCCAAATTGCAACCTAAACATGGTTTTCAGCGCCACCGCCCTGGATGGTTCCGATTCGATCCGAGAAGTGAGTACATGATTGAGGAGAGCTTTAAGAGAAAGAAGAAGACACTTCTTGTAAGTTTACAGTATCCCTTAATTTTACTGATAATTTTAAAACCTTAAAAACAACGGGTCAGAATTTGGCATAGATTGGAAAACTTTGCTTCTTTGAATAGTTACGAAACCGGTTTAAAACAGTCCGATCAATTACAAAATTTCAGAATGGACTTAACAAACATAGAGCTGCATTTTTGTAGTTGACAACTTTTTTGTAAAATTAGGTCCTGAGGAGATATGCCACGTGGAAGTCCAGGCGCCGCCGCCGTTCGTGTTGTCAGCGTGCGCGAACGGAGAGTATCTTCAAGGTGGCATATCCCCTTAGGACGTGATTTTACAAAAAAGTTGTCAACAACAAAAACAGAGCTTAAGAATAGAGCTTCATTTGTGTAGTTGACAACTTTTTTGTAAAGTTAGGCCCTGAGGAGATATGCTACTTGGATGTGTGGGTACCTTTATGCGCCTCCGCCACTAGCGCCCGAGCCTCTTTCTCGTGGTATATCTTTTCAGAACCGAATTTTCCAAAAAAAAGTGTTAACTACAAAAATGGAGCAAACTTTCAGAGCTATCAAAAAAGTATAAACACCTTTTGTAAAAGTTCCTTTCAGATCTACATCTGTACGTTCCGAATGACGATCAACTTCCAAAAGATGACACAAACAAGTCAGAGCCATAGAGTGAGAGAGTCGGAGAGCTTTTTGACCAACTCACGCGCCATCAAGTGAGCCTCATACAGATCTCAAATTAAGTTGATACCAGTCGGTTTACGCCCCTTCGGGGCTCAACCGCCTGGCTCCCGCTCACAATACCCGTAATCTTATTGAAAAGTTTCGTCACAAAATGTAATGAAGAAAAAAACATTTTGAAATTTTTCTGAAATTCTGAAAATTATGAAATCCTAGAATGCTAAATTTTTAATTTCCGAATTTCGAAATTTTCAGAATTCGCAATTTTGAAATGTTAAAACTCAAAGTTTAAGAATTCAAAAGTTTGTCAACTCATATATTTCCTAAAATAAGCCCATGGGCTTCTATTTTTCAATGATTTATTTTTAAATTTTTTATTCGAAAATTCCGAAATTTGACAATTCGGGAGTTGAGACTTCTGAAATTCAGTGTTTTGGGAAAAAAAAATTTAAAAATTTTCTTTCTGCAATTCTAAAGTCCAAAATTCCGGACTCATGAAATTCTGAGATTTCAGGATCTCAAAATTCAGGAATTCTGAAATTCCGGAAAAAATTCTGGTATTCTAAAAATCGGAAGTTTCGAAATTGAGAGATTGTCGAGTTCTAAAAATCACAGTTTTTAATATTCTGGTGTTTTGAATTACCGTATTTTCTCTATTTGAAGATCATAGGCTTCTATTTTTCAAAGCACCACTCGGGGTGGGCTTCTATGAGATGTGGGTTTCTATTAAAGGAAATACGGTATTCGGAAGTCAGTAATTTGAATATTCGGATAACTGGGAAAAATGAATTTAGGGAAAAAATTCAGGAAATTTAAAAATTCAAAGTTCCGGTAATTCAGCAGTTAGGAAATTCTGAAATCCGGTGACTCGATCATTTGAGAATTCTGAAACTGAAAAGCTGAGCAACTCAGAACGCCAGAAATTCGGAAATTAAAACGTTTTTCAGAATTTTAAAAATTTGATGTTTCACTACTTCTTTTCAGACCTTAACCATGTTTTTTGTTTTTAGGGGTTCGAAAATTACCAATGAATTTCAAAATCCTCAAATTTCCTAATTCTATAACTCTAAATTCTCAATCCTTCGCTTTCTGAAGTTCCCATATATCGAATTTCTGAATTAACAAATTTTCGAACTTTTTAATTCGAGACTTTCCTTTTTTAATTTCCACAATCTGAAATTGACAGATTTGAACTTCGAAGTTCAGAAATTCGGAAATTCAAGCTCTCATATTTTTAGAGTTTAAAGTCTGATGATCCAGCCTTACCAAAAAAAAACTAAAAACAAATCAGAAGATCGTAATCTTTAAATTTGAAGTCTAGAAAATTCCTGGATTTCAGAAAGCGCGCTCGTCATTTTCTTAACTTTCTTATTTTCCAATCTTTTTCGGTCTTTTCCATTCCCTTCCAACTTCAAAACCCACACTAAAAGTCTAATTGTGCAAAACCTTTCTCTGAGAAATAGCGTGGATTTTTAAAAAAGTTGGGCGGTTAGACGAAAACAACGTAATTATTGCTTCGATAATTTTCTAAAGATTTGTACTGTAAAAGAAGAAAAACGTCTCCAGAAGACGTCAGAGACAAAATTTCAATAATAGAAAGAGTCGGGCAAAAACAAATAAAAATTTCGGATTCATCCATGCAAATTCCAGCTCAAATGGTTAACGTTGAGTGGGTGAACAGTAACGCTACATACATTCTCACATACAGAATTTGGTGTTTTTTATTAGTAATGATTTCCGAATTTCAGAAGAATCCCGGCGGCCGACTACAAGAAATACGTATTGAGAGGAATCGCCGGAATTCGTTCCCTTGCCTACCCGATCGATTAATTCAAGGATCTCTATCTCTCACCCATCACTTCCTCTTACATTCAAATTTCTCACAACCCATATTACCCGATTTGAAACGAATTAATAAAAATACAATTCATTTTTTGGGTCCCACCACGAAATGTCAAAAACTACCGTAATTCCTTTCGTTTCGATCAAAACTGACCAGAGCCATATTTTTCAGTTGTCTTAAAATGCGCTTCAAAATGAGTATAAACATGACCTACTTTTAGAAATTTCTAATTTGACTAATTTTGACAACCGCCATGCGCCTTTAAGCTCGAATTTTCAAATTTAAAGGAACATAGTCGTGATTATACTCATTTTAAAGCTCCGAACAAATGAAAATCGAATTTTGAACAAACTTCGAATTGTGCAAAAACTGAGCAAGTTATGGCCAGTTCAAACTTTTGGGTCCCATCAGGAAAAGGCTAAACTACTTGAACTATATTCCTTTAATTGCTCAGAACTCAATCTCCAAAGGTCAAACGTCGTTTCTGTAGGACCTAATCTCAAGATCATAACATAAGACCTTCCCAGGAGCAATATATGTCCTCCCCTGCTAGACATAGTTTCCTCTTCTTCTGTCTGGTACCCCCGTTCACTGTTCAAACGATTCTATGTAGACGTCGCAAGGGTCTTCCCATATAGTCTGTCCCATACGATGATCATCTACTCGTCTATTCCAGCCCAAGGGGGCCGGTCCTTTCTCTGAGTCTCTCTCTCCCTCTCTCGCAGCCTTTCAAAGAAAAATCAATCAGGTCTAAGAGGCCGTCCCAGACTCTACGGCCCAGGCCAGTCAGTCTTCATCTTTCTCCCCTGTACCATATTGGCTCTCATTCTCAGCAAAAATCTCATGTAATGGGTCTAAAGGGTTCCAAGATGGCTCCGGCCACTTCTTTTGGCAAAACCGAATGGTTTCAGACTTCGAAGAAAGAAGGCAACTCCCGGTTTATTTGGATTTATGGGAATCCGACGGTTACCTTGAAATACAGTAATCGATTAAAAGATTTCTAATTTTCAGATCAAATCTGGATGCTACGAGTTCCATCCAGATCTACAGGATCACATTGAGGAAGCGTATCTGGCAGAGAAGAAGACGTGCAAAGTGTCAGTTTTTGGAACGGTTTGGACACTGGATTTGAAGAATATGAAGGAATCGAGTAAGACTAGCAAAGCTAAGCCAGAAATCAGGTGAGTCAGTCTAGCTTGAGCGAAGGGGTTCTTGAAATTTGAACTTCTACAAAACAGTTTCAAAATAATCCGATTAATGTGAAAATTTCAGAATTGACTCAACAGGGCTCTATTTTTGTAGTAGACCACTTTCTTGTAAATCTTAGTCTTAAAGAGATACGCCACGTGGAAGTGAGGATACCTCCAGGCGCCGCCGCCACCAGTGGAGTGGGCAGTGGCGCCTAGAGGTACACACACTTCTACGTGGCATAACTTGTCAAGGCCTGGTTTTACAAGAAACTTGCTAACTTCAAAAATGAAGCTCAAGAATAGAGCTTCATTTTTGTAATTGTCAACTTTTAAGGAAAATCAGGTCCTGAGGAGATATGCCACGTAGAAGACGCCGCTGCCAACTCCACTGGTCCGGCGGCTCCCAGAGGCTTGCAGGCTTTTCTACGTGGCATAACTTGTCGAGACCTAATTTTACACAAAACTTGCTAACTACAAAAATAAAGCTCAAAAATAGAGCTACATTTTTGTAATTGTCAACTTTTAACGAAAATTAGGTTCTAAAATGATATGCCACTTGGAAGAGCTGCAAGTCTCTGGGAGCGCGCGGCGCCAAGAGGACCCACTCTTCTACGTGGCATACCTCCTCAGCACCTAATTTTACAAAAAAGTTGTCCACTACTAAAATGAGAGAAAACGATGAAGAGTTCAACGAATGTGAGGAATTAGAAACTGTGCACCTAAATGTTAATAGAAAGAACATTGACTTATTACTAGGTCTTTATTAATTATAATTATAGAGAAAAAGGTTAGCGAAAGATGACTTAAGGTCATCTCAAAGATAAGAGAGAATTAATGTGACATGTTTGAGCAGGTGACTTGAACTTGGCACCGGAGAAGCGTGTTGTTGGTGGAGTGTACGCACGAGACGCTTCAAAATGGTGACGTTGGCGGGAGTTTGAATGCAGGCCGCTGGGGTGTAAAAGATCTGAAGAAACCTGAAAGAACATTAGAGAGGATTTTCCTCATTTGAGATTAAAGACTCGTGGAATATGTGATATTCCACGACACCGCCTCCAGGCGCCGCCGCCACCAACGCGTTGGCAGCTGCGCCTCTCGGTACCCACACTTCCAGGTGGTATATCTCAGTAGAGCGCTATTGTACAAAAAAGTTGTTAACTACAAAACATAGCTCTAGATTTGTTTAGTACTATCTGAAAATTTCAGAAAAATTTAAAAAGTCTGAACCTCTTTTGTAACTTGCCAAACTTTTTGGTCTAAATTCAAAATTTTTCTTCCAGAAGAGTCCGCACCTCTCAACTCAAAAAGCTCAAATGTATCGGTGTAGCTGGCGCAAAATACGGTAACTCTCTCTCTCTCTCTCCGAATTCCAGAATTTTCCAGAAATTAAAAAAATTTTCAGCAAAAACCTCGGGCTTCCAACAATCCGACGATATCTGTGCCGTCTGCTACGACCCCTCCACTATTCCAACCCGAATCGAAAAGTGCGGACACATTTTCTGTTTTTTGTGTCTCAAAAGTGAGTTTATTAGATTTTCAGACTCTCGAATTTCAGACTTTTTCAGCAAATTATATTTTGGGCAACGGTTGTCCAACGTGCCGGGGAGCTATTCCCTATAGTATGTTTCAGAAGCCAATCAGAGCTGATATCGATTTTCATATCGAGTGTCCTTTGGAGTACGCGGTCGACTGTGCAAAAATGCTGGGTCCCGATCCAAAAAAGTCGGAAAGAGAAAGCTCAGAAAAGTATTACTGGCTCTATCAGGTAAGGGTGTGCGCCTTTAAATTCAAAATTTCAAATTTAAAGGAACATAGTCGTGTTTAGGCTCATTTTGAAGCTCAGAACGAGTGAAAATCAAATTAAAAAAGTTTTTTGAATATAACGAAAACTGATCAAGCTATGGTCGTTCACAACTTTTGGGTCCAACCACGAAAAGTTAAAAACTACCATAACTCATTTCGTTTCGGTCTAAAACTGATAAAAACCATATACACCGATTTGTCGTCAGAAGCGCTTCAAAATGCGTATAAACATGACCTAGTTTCAGAAATTTCTAATTTTGACTCATTTTGCCTCCCACCATGCGCCTTTAAACTCGAAATTTCAAATTTAAAGGAAAATAGTCGTGTTTATACACATTTTGAAGCTCAGAACAAATAAAAATCAAATTTCAAAAAACATTTTGAATAAAACGAAAACTGATCAAGTTATGGTCGTTTGAAACTTTTGGGTCCCACCACGAGACTACCGTAACTCCTTTCGTTCAGTCAAAAAATGATTAAAACCACATTTTCGAGTTTCCCTTTGAAAACGCTTCAAAATAAGTATAAACATGACCTAGTTTCAGAAATTTCTAATTTAATTTTGACTCATTTTGCCTCCCACCATGCGCCTTTAAACTCGAAATTTCAAATTTAAAGGAAAATAGTCGTGTTTATACTCATTTTGAAGCTCAGAAGGAATGAAAATCGAATATCTTACAAAGTTTCAAATTGCGAGACAACTGAAAAAGTTATGGTCGTTTGAAACTTTTAAGCTGGTGGCCTAGAAATCCCAATTTTTTCAGTCGAACCATTCGGGATGGTTTCGATACGATCCGAAGACCGAATACTTCATCGAGGAGAATTTCAAGCGGAAGAATAAGAGTTGTGAGGTAGAAATTCTTCAGTTTTTTGAAGTTTTTGAAAATCAGAAAATCCCAAAATTAAAAAAATAATTCCAGGTCTACATTTGCGGTCTTAAAATGACGATCAACTTCAAAAGGAGCACTCAGGAGATTCAGGGAAAAATCCGCAAGCGAAAAATCAAGTAAGCGCCTGAAAATCGATTTTTTAAAAAAATTTTATTTATTTTTCTTTCAGACGAATCGCCGCTTCCGACGTCTATAAGCAGCACGATCTGAAAGGCATCGCCGGAATTCGCACGCTCAACTATCCGATCTCGTAAAATTGGTTTTAAAATAATATTCTAATACATTTTTTTCATATTTCTATTTCAAAAAAAAAAACAAAAAAACAATAGAACAAAATCTACAACAAAAAAACTCCAAAAAACAATAAAAAAGCTAATTTTTAAACAAGTATTTTAAATCTCTCTTCGCGAGTGCTTGATCCAGCGATCGATAATTTCCAAGCGTCTCAATGTCTCCATATCCCACAAGTGATGGTTTCGAAGATAGAAGTCGTTCTGTCACTCGTAGAATATCCTCATTTGTCACTTTTTCTGCAAAAAAGACTCTTTTAAGACACCTTTTCAAAGCAAAAAGACTTTTAAACTCGGTCGATGCGCACTTGCGCGTCAACCACGGTGTTTGTGTACGCAGGCATTTCACTTTACGCGCAAATGTACTTTTTTCCGTAATTATTTTCTGGCCTTTTTTCTCTGACTTTTCGACGAATTTCGTTGATTTTTTTTGCATTTTTTTCGGATTTCTGATTACAAAATCGATGAAATTCATGGAAAAATCAAAAAAAAATTGGCTAGAAAACCCTTACCAACATAATTGTCAAATTCCGGGCCGGCCCGCCAAAGCCCGGGCCGGGCATGAGGACATTTTCAAGGCCCGGGCCCGGCCCGGAAGGCCCGGTAGCAAAAATTGTGTCATTTTGAGCCAAATTTTGATCTCTCAATACAATTTTCTCCATTATTTTTTTGTGTTTTTGGATTGTTTGTCTGTTTGATCAAAAAATATAAAAAAACTCGAAAAAAATCACATAAGGGTCCCCCCTTATGTGTTTTTCAAAATGTTCAAAACTTGTGGAATGACAGGCCTGCCGGGCCTCCGAAATTTGGGAAAAAGCCCGGCCCGGCCCGTTACAAGTATGCTTACCAATTCTCTCCGCATACTCCTCTGGCTGTTTCCTCTCTCCGTGCCCTAAAACCTGTCGAACCATATCCTCAAAAAGCACGGGTCGTACTTCCAAATTCATCATCAAATGACTCCTCAACTGAGTTCTAGCCCTAGCCAACTCCGTTGGATCGATTCCTTGTTGAAGTTGAAGAATCTGATGGACCAGAAGGATCAGAGCGTCGTGGATGTTGTCTGGTGGAGCGCTGGCGGTTACGGTAAACACTCCGCCATCCGAGTACGAGTGATTGTGAGCGATTGCGCTGTAAATCCAGTGGTGTCGATTCATGAGCTCTGTGTACATTCGAGCGTACATTCCTTTGCCGGGACCGCCTGAAACATGGGTTTTCTCGAAAAATTGGCAAAAAAGATCTGAAAAATGCTTTTACATAATCTAAAATGGCCTAAAAACACGATTTTATTCATTCATTCAACTCTCTAACCTGCCGAAAACGCTCCACCGCCTCCGAGCAACGATTGAAGTACACAAAACGCCACGAAATCCTCATCCTTATATCCACAACCCTCCAATCCCAACACGACATGAGCCAATAATGGATAGGGCTTTCCAATGGTCAGCGGTTTCAAATCCTTTTGCATTCTGACCTCTCCGCCAGTGTATTGAGAACGGGAAATGTCGATTTCTGGGATTTTCGGAGGCAACAGAGTCGATTTTCTGTTCCAAATGGAATTTTTCTGGTCGAAATGACGGGTGACAATGGAGACGAACTCATCGTGATCGATACCAACGCCTGAAAATTGGAAATTGTTCAAAAATGTGGTTTAAAATGGTCCAAAAACGGCAAAAAAAATTGTTTCAACTGATCCAAAATTGGTCTAAATTTTTTCAAAAAATGGTTTAAATTGTTTTCAATTGTCCAAAAATAGTCTAAAATGGGCTAAAAATGGTCTAAAATAATTTAAAATGACCAGGAAATGGTCTTAAAATACTGTAGAGTAATCCAAAACTGATCTAAAATTACCTAAAAATTGTTCAAAATGACCTAAAAAAGGTTTAAAACAATCCTAAAATTGTTTAAAAATGGTCAAAATGGCCCAAAGATGATCTAAAAATAGTCTAAAGTGATCCTAAAATGGTCCGAAATGGTCCAAAAATAGTTACTAAAAATCCTGAAATCGTCAAAATCAACCTTGAATGATCTCAAATGAAAACTAGTCTGAAAATGTCCTGAAACTACCTCAAAATGGTTTAAAATGGTCCAAAATGTATCTGAACCTATCAAAAAATCGTCTAGAATGGTCCATAACTGGTCTAAAATAACCTTAAAATGGTCCAAAGTGAACCGAAAATGGTCTAAAATGACCTTAAAATAGTCTAGCATGCTCTAAAAATAGTTTAAAATCGTCCATAAATGACCCAAAATGATCCAAAAATAGTCTAAAAGTGACCCAAAGTAGACTAGAATGGTTCATAATTGATCTAAAATGATCTTAAAGTATTCTAAAATCATCCAAAAACGATCTTAAACATTTTTAGATAGTTTTTAGATATTTTTTCGGTTATTCTTAGACTATTTTTTTGGTCATTTTAAACCATTTTTGGGACATTTTAGACCATTTCAGAAAGCCTACCTCCTACAACCATCCTCTCTGGTGTATGAGCCCTGCTCATGAATCCATAAACATCTGAAACTCGAATCCTATCCATCGAGCCCATTCCATATTTCGGATATCCAATTGTATTGTGCTGAAAAGCCGCCTGGTGGATATAATCGGTCAGGAGGATTTCTATCGCTTCAATTCGTGTCGGCAAATCTATATTCTCATAGTGGGCTGTCATTTTCGCTTGCTCTAGACCCGTTTCATCGATTGTCGGGCGGAAAATTGTGTCCGCAATCACGTTCATAACGGAATCCGTCCCGTCACGATGGCAACTGGCGGCGTACATCATTGTGTCTCTTGTGGATTGGCAATCAACGATTCCACTGTTTGACTCGAGCTGCGCGAAGATATCATCTCGACCTTCGAAGTTTTCGGAGGACTGGAATCACCAAATTTAATTTATTTTTTCAAAAAACAAAAAAATCCTTACATTAAAAGCCAATTTCTCGACAACTCTCGAGATTCCCAACGGAAATCCATTCTCAAATCGACATCCGCTCTCCACGGCGACTCCGACTGTCACAAAATCCCCATAAGTGTCTTCTGTGCAAATTCTGAGCCCATTCTCCAATTTTGTAACCCTTGAATTCCTTCCAATTGGCGGCGAACCCTTCGGAATCACTTTAACGCCTTCTGGATTTTTCAAGGGGAGCGGCACGGAAAGTGGCAATTTTTGGGCGATTTCTCTGTGGTTTCTCAGTGTTGTTGCGATATTTCGACATCTTCGCATATGGGAGATGCTTTTTTGAAGAAGCATCTGAAAAATAATTGAGTTTTTCGTAGGGAAATCAAGGTTAGAAAATGACTAAAATATTGCATAAAGCAAGACGGTCCGCAATGTGTCGTAGTTTCTGCCAATGTGTGTTTGCGGACATTGGAAAATTTTGCACAAATTAATTTTTAAGCACTTTTTCTAGGTGGTTTTCAGCGCTTTTTCCTTACTAATTTTGTGTTTAAAATTCAAAAAAACTATCAGGATCTTGAAATTTTTTCATTAAATATCTATTAAACAATGGACAATCAAAGCTAACTGCTCGAAAATCGCAAAATTCGATTTTCCGATATTTTCTCTCAGAAAGGGCATTTTTCGCTTTTCTATCACTAATTTCACTATTTCTAATGTTAAAAACTATTAGAATTTGCATTTTAGATATGTTAGATGCCAGAAAATCCAAGCAAACTGCCCCAAAATCGCTTAAACTCGATTTTCCAATATTTTTTTTTCAGAAAGAGCACTTCTTCGCTTTTTCAACACAAATTTTGATTTTAAAAATGTTAAAACTTATCAGAATTTTTACTTAAAATCTGCTAAATTCGCTTAAATTTGGTTTTCAGAGCATCCCATGCTTCCGACACGTCTACTCGCCACACGAACGTACTCCACAGCTTCAAACCGCTTTCGGGTGGTAGAAGTAGGCGCCAGGGATGGTCTTCAGGTGAGAAATTCAAATCGAATGCTATAAATATATAATTTTCATTTTCTAGGCCGAAAAGAAGTTCGTGCCCACTGAAGTGAAGGTAGAACTCATCGATCGCCTATCTGCCTGTGGATTCTCAACAGTAGAGACCACGAGCTTCGTATCACCGAAATGGGTACCCCAGATGGCGGATCATAATGAAATTGTGAAGAAACACAAGAGATTCAACGGCGTTTCCTATCCAGTGTTGGTTCCCAACGCTGCTGGACTCAAAAATGCTGTAGGTAGATTTAAAATAGCTATTTGAAGCTCTAAAGCTCTAAAAATCAATTTCCAGCTCGCCACTGGAGTCGTCGACGAGATCGCTGTCTTCGGAGCCGCCTCAGATGCATTCTCCTTGAAAAACGTTAATTCCAACGTAGAAGACAGTCTGAAGAAGCTTTTAGAAGTCACTAAAATCGCTTTGGAGAACAAGATTCGTGTTCGAGGATACGTGTCAGTGGTTGTAGGATGTCCGTATTCTGGAGACGTCAAGCCAGAAGTCGTGGCAAGAGTGGCCGAGACACTTTTGGAAGCCGGATGTTATGAGGTGTCGCTAGGAGATACGATTGGAGTTGGAACAGTGAAATCCGTAGGAAAAATGCTGGATACCGTGTTGAAGAGTGTGCCAGGTGAGTGTAATGATTGGCGGGAGTGTGGAAATTCAAAAATTGTACTTTTTAGCTGAAAAATGATAATTTTGAGGCCAAAAATGAGCAATTTGAGGTTGGAAATGGACATTTTAGTACAAAAATTACCTATCTTGAGGGCTAAAGTAGTTATTTTTAGCTTCAAAGACGTCATTATTAGTCATTAATTTATCAATTTTGAGACCTCGAAATCGGATTTTTAGGCACCAAGTTCCCATTTTGAGGCGAAATGTGGCGTTTTTTCAGCTCGAAAATCGACGTTTTTAGCCCTTGTCCATTTTAAGGCCAAAAATGAGAATTGCAATTCTAAAACTATCGGAATCGCGTTTTAGCTCCTAAATCGACATTTTTTTTGAAATTATTGAATGGAAAATGGCTCAAAGTTTAATAAAAACGATCCGAAATCTGCTAAGAATGTGCCGAGAACCCAGAAAATAGTCCAAAATTCAAGGAAAATGAACTAATATTTCTGGAAAAATGATCCGAAAACTATATGAAAATGGACCAAAAATTATGAAAAATGGCCCAGAATCTATGGAAAATTATCCAAACTTCCTGAAAAATAGTACGAAATTCATGGAAAAAGATCGAATCTTCCTGAAAAATAGTACGAAATTCATGGAAAGTTTTCCAAAAATCATGAAAAAATGGTCCAAAATTCCAAATTTTCGTCCTACAAACGCTTAAAAATTCCAGCCAACAAGCTAGCGGTCCACTTCCACGACACCTACGGTCAGGCGCTTGCCAACGTCCTTGTCTCCATCGAAAAAGGAATCCGAGCCGCTGATTCATCGATTGCCGGCCTCGGAGGATGTCCCTATGCGAAAGGAGCCACTGGCAACCTGGCCACAGAAGATTTGCTGTACTTTTTGAAGGGAAATGGATTTGAGACTGGCGTCGATTTGGAGAAAGTTGTGGAGACGGCGAAATGGTTCAATTCGGCAGCTGGCTATGATAAATGGTCCCGGGTTGGAAGAGCCATCTCGAATAAGATGGAGGCGGCAAAGTGCTGATTTTTCAGAGAAAATCGTGTATAAATAATAATGATTTTAAGCATTTTTAGGTGATAATGAAGAGCTTTTCTTGTATTTTATAATGTAAAAATTATTGATTTTTACATCTTTTCTTATTTTTTTCATTTTTCTAAAAATCGTTTAAAATACCGATACTTTTACTATTTCTCTTTGAATTTATATGATTTTTCTTTGCATTTTTCTGCCGTTTTCTCTATTTTTAACACAATTTTTCTTTCAATTTTTTTTTCGAATTTTTGATTTTTTTAACGAATCCGACCCTTTTTTGAGCTATTTTTAACTATATTTTTCATCAAGTTCTCTGTTTTTCCTACAAAATTTTATAGAGAAATTGGATACGATTTCTCCGATTTTCGACAATTTCTTTATCAAATTTTCGTATTTTTACACCTATTTCTCATTGAATTTTAGCCTTTTTTTTTGCGATTTCGAACCCTTTTTTGAGCTATTTTTACTACATTTCCCCCGAAATTCCGTTTTTTTCCGTTTTCGCCAATTTCCCCTCTCCTCAAAACCTTTTTCGTTTTTTCCAGAACAAAAAATGTCCGATCTGCTCGACGAGATACTTCTCAACATAGATGCCACAACAGCCAACGAAGTCCAGCTGGACGATGAACAGATTGCTGAGCTTCTAGGTGACGATGACGTGGCACCGGTGGCTCCAGATGCGCCAGAAGCGGCGGACCCAGAAGAAGTGGATCCAGAAGAGCCAGCAGAAGTTTCCGACGTCGAAGTGCTTGAGAATGTTCCAGAAGCGCCACTTGAGGACGACGAGGGATTCGATGATATTCAGGAGATTGATGCGGAATACGCGAATATCGATGTGCCACCTCCAGAAGATCCATTGGCGGCAGTTCGAGAGATTCTGGCACAACATAATATGAATTTGGAGGAGGACAGCGATGGTGTGGAGGTTATGGAAGAAGAAGGGACGTCATCTGGAGAAGATGGGAAGAAGAATGGAGATCAGGAGGAGGTGATGATAGAGTCGGATGAGGGAGAAGGGGAAGGAGAAGCTATTGAAGGCGATGGAGAAGGAAGTGGGTTTTTTTTTCGTCGAAAAAGGCCCAAAATCCATGAGAAATGGGTCAAAATTCAGGAAAATTGGTCCGAAATTCAGGAAAATTGGTCCGAAATTGATGAGACATGACCTACAATTCATGGAAAATTGTGAAATTTGGTTAAAAATTGTCCAAAATTCATTAAAAACAGTTCGAAATTCCTGAAGAGCGAAATTCCTGAAACATGGTCCAAAATGACTTTGAAATGGTCTAAAATGGCTTTAAAACGGTCTAAAATGGTTCAAAATTTGTCCAAAATTATCCTAAAATGATTTACAATAATTCTAAAATTGTCTAGAACGGTGTAAAATGGTTAAAAATGACCACAAAATGACCTTGAAATGATCCTAAAATGGTCTGAAACGGCCCAAAAAGGCCTAAATTCGGATTTCCTTCAAAACATCCCTGAAAGTTCCAGCATCCACTCGCAAACGTGCCGCTACAAATGGCACCGCTCCAGGCGCGAAACGTCGCCGCTCCGGACCATCTCAACCATCTTTGGCGGCTCGTAACTCGGTGATCAAGGCGATGACAGAGATTTTAGGCAGCTGGGAATTTCAAGCGAATCGCTCGAATTTGAAAACTCTGAAGGATTTACATTTGACACGATTCGCCTACGTTTCGGAGCAGAATCAGAAACAGATCATTGGTAAGAGCTGCAAAAAGTTGCCAAAATTCATCGAAATGTGCAGGCCATGACCTAGAAAAAATTAGGTCGTGAACTAGAAAAATTAGGTCATGACCTAGAAAAAGTTAGGTCATGACCTAGAAAAATTAGGTCGTGAACTAGAAAAAATTAGGTCGTGACCTAGAAAAATTAGGTCGTGACCTAGAAAAAGTTAGGTCATGACCAAAAAAAAATGAAGTCGTGACCTAGAAAAAATTAGGTCGTGAACTAGAAAAATTAGGCCTGACCTAGAAAAAGTTAGGTCATGACATAGAAAAAGTTAGGTCATGACATAGAAAAATTAGGTCATGACCTAGAAAAAATTAGGTCGTGAACTAGAAAAATTAGGTCATGACCTAACTTTTTCAAGGTCATGACCTAGAAAAATTAGGTCGTGAACTAGAAAAAATTAGGTCGTGACCTAGAAAAATTAGGTCGTGACCTAGAAAAAATTAGGTCGTGACCTAGAAAAAATTAGGTCGTGACCTAGAAAAATTAGGTCGTGACCTAGATAAAATTAGGTCGTGACCTAGAAAAAGTTAGGTCATGGCCTAGATAAAATTAGGTCGTGACCTAGAAAAAGTTAGGTCATGACCTAGAAAAATTAGGTCGTGACCTAGAAAAAGTTAGGTCATGACCTAGAAAAATTAGGTCGTGACCTAGAAAAAGTTAGGTCATGACCTAGAAAAATTAGGTCGTGAACTAGAAAAAATTAGGTCGTGACCTAGAAAAATTAGGTCGTGACCTAGAAAAAGTTAGGTCATGACCTAGAAAAATTAGGTCGTGACCTAGAAAAAATTAGGTCATGCTCTAGAAAAATTAGGTCGTGAACGAGAAAAATTAGGTCGTGACCTAGATAAAATTAGGTCGTGACCTAGAAAAAGTTAGGTCATGGCCTAGATAAAATTAGGTCGTGACCTAGAAAAAGTTAGGTCATGACCTAGAAAAATTAGGTCGTGACCTAGAAAAATTAGGTCGTGAACTAGAAAAATTAGGTCGTGACCTAGAAAAATTAGGTCGTGAACGAGAAAAATTAGGTCGTGACCTAGAAAAAATTAGGTCGTGACCTAGAAAAAATTAGGTCGTGAACGAGAAAAATTAGGTCGTGAACTAGAAAAATTAGGCCATGACCTAGAAAAAGTTAGGTCATGACATAGAAAAAGTTAGGTCATGACATAGAAAAAGTTAGGTCATGACCTAGAAAAATTAGGTCGTGACCTAGAAAAAGTTAGGTCATGACCTAGAAAAATTAGGTCGTGACCTAGAAAAAGTTAGGTCATGATCTAGAAAAATTAGGTCGTGACCTAGAAAAAGTTATGTCATGACCTAGAAAAAGTTAGGTCATGACCTAGAAAAAGTTAGGTCATGACCTAGAAAAATTAGGTCGTGACCTAGAAAAAGTTAGGACATGACCTAGAAAAATTAGGTAATCTGTAATTTGGTCAAATCTGTATTTTCTTAATTTTAAAAATGTCATTTTTGCAGCTCTCAAAACGGAAGTCCTCCGACTCAAAGGACTCCTCCATGACGAGCGTCAATCTCATGGTCAAACCCTATACGCATTGAAAGAACTCGGAATGGATGCTCAGAAAATGAGAAAACAAGTGGAAGAACTCTCGCTGATGGTCACCCAACCGCGATGCATCACTATAATGGATGACGTGGCACCGACGGCGGCGCAAGTTGAGAAATACCATCGGGAGCAGAATGGTCGTGAGAAGCAACAGCAGCAGCAGCAATCGTCGAGCCATCAACAGAGACAACGAGATGTCTATATGTCGCCACAACGACAGCATCAGATGAGAATGCAACAGGATCCAATGATGAGACAACGACTCGAAATGAATGGATATGGTCGGCCGGAGATAGAGCAGAGACGACGACTTCATGGGGAGAGACAGGTTAGGCTTTGTGAAAAATGGTCCAAAATTCGTGAAAAATGGTCCAAAAATCATGAAAAATGAGCCGAAATTCATGAAAAATAGCATAAAACTTTTTAAAATGGTCCAAAAATCGTTGAAACCTGTCCACGAAATTAGGAAAACGGTCTAAACTTCATGAAAAACGACCTAGAATTAATTAAAAACTGTTCTAAATTTATAAAAAATGGTCCAAAATTCATGAAAATTGGTCTAAAATATATTTGAAAAAGTCCAAAATTTGTAAAAAATAGTCAGAAACGCAGAATTGCGTTGAAAATAGGCTGAAATTGAGTAGTTTGGCGCCATGTAGATTCGAACCCTGGTGTTGAGTTCCCCAGATTCTAAGCTCGAAATCCCACTAGGCCATCTGAACGAATCTAAATTTTCTGAAAAAGTGCATTTTTTGGGTTCAAAATGAGGTTTAGGCTTTTCTAAAGTAGCGCAAAACCATTATGGCTCTGTTTGGTGCATTTTTGAGCAAAATCCCTTCTAAAGACCTCAATTTCCAGATCTACCAACACCAAAACACCCCTCAACATTACCACAACTCTCCACAAGTCACCGGTCCACAATTTCCAAGAGCACGTGCCAGAACCTCCACTGCTGCCGCCGCCCAAGCTCTTCTCCGCAACGTTGCCATCGCTTCTGGTATCCCATTACCACAGCCACCAGTACGCGTAGTGATCCCACCACCAGGACCCGGACAACCGAAATGGCAACAGATTCCACCGCCACCAGTTCTGATGGGACACTCGGATGGGATTCCGAATCCTGACGGTTTGCTTATTTTTCACTATTTTGAATTGAAACGCATCAAACTCTGCTCAGCTCGCCGAGAGCTTCAAAATGAGCCCGAACACGAATGGGTTTTGAACATTTTTGGGATTACTGTAGTTTTCGTGGCGGAACCCCCATAAGCTCATTTTGAAGCTCTCAAGCTGAGCATGAATTAGCTTATTTTTATCCAAAAATAATAATTTTCAAATTTTCAGGTCCCCAAAAACTAATCGACTGCACCCGAGCCAACGACAACATCATCAAACTACACATTCCATTCGTCCCCGTTCGTCTCATCATCTCGTCTGGAGACTCGGCACGTCTTCCGTCAAATCCACGTTGCTTCAGTGGAATGCCACATTGTCCGGATCTCAGCATTGTTATCACATCAAGTCAGGCGGATTTCAGAGAGAATTGGCAGATTGCCGGAAAGATTAACTACGAGTATTTGGGCGATTTGGATGATACGGTAGGGATTTGTTTCCGAATTTCCAACTAAACGAGCTTCAAAATGAGTCTAAACACAAATTTTTTAATTGTGAAAAATCTATTAACAACTGTAACTTGGCTGAAAATTGTGCGTTTTCAACAAAAGTACAATTTTTGAGCTAAGTTTGTTTTTAGCTTCAAAATGAACCCTAACATGACTAATTTGAGTCTCACCACGAAAAGTACAGTAACCCTGAAGTGGGCGGAGCCTAGGCTCATTTTGAAACACTTGAGAAGCTTATTTTCCACAATCTCGAATTTTAAACTTATCTAACTTTTCTCAGCTTGCCGAGAGCTTTCAAATGAGCTCAACCACGACTGGATTCTGAAATCTTTTGGGATTACTGTACTTTTCGTGGCGGGACCCCATTAGGCTCATTTTGAAGCTCTCGGTGAGCTTTAGCTTATTTTCAGCTGATTCCTAAAAATCCGATTATTTCAGAAAATCCAAATATTCGTCCAAGTGGCATCGATGAAGTTCAGTGGAATCAACGGAATTCCGAATCCCGACATGCCAAACGCCGTCATAGACTGGGGAATTTCGAATTCGTGGGGTTGTAAAGCCAAATCTCACAAATTCCGCGTCGTCTTCCATCATCGACAACAGATTCCGATGAACGATCGGATTACGGTAATGGTGGCCGCGAGGAACGAGAATACGGGAATCACTCAGATTTCACCGGTGAGAATTAGTTGCAAAATCGATTTTTCAGTCTAAAAATTGATTATTTTGCAGCCAGTCTTCATGCAACTACAGTAATCTCCACGAAGTGACCTTCGTCTTCTTCTGATTTCTAATTTTTTAATGATTTTTTCACGACTGGTTTTAACTGTTTCCTCATAATTTAAAGACCTTTTCTGATCCTTGATTTTCTGTTCTAATCTTATTGCTTACTGATCGCCGCTTTTTTCTTTTTTATTTCAATTTATATGAATCGTTATGTCCGATCCTAGAAAAAGTTGGATATTTGTTGATTTAAATGGGTTTGTGACCCATTTTTTGTATCTTTGATTTTTTTTTCAGTTTCGAAGTCTCCTCAAGCCCATTTTTTACCTATTTTTAGACTATTTTCAGACTTTGAATCCTATTTTTGCGTCGTTCTAGCTAATTTTTAGCCTGTTTTTAGTCATTAGTCTTTTTGAATTTTATTGCCAGCTTTTTCCTAGATTGTCTAGCCTACTTCCGGCAATTTTTGGCCAATTTTCATCATTTTTTTTACCTATTTTAACCTTTTCTCCGCCTTTTAAAGCCTTTTTTAGCTCAATTGTTAGCCAATTTTTTGTCTTTTTTCATTTTATTTTCTTAGTCGTTTTAAGCCTATTTTCCAGCTTTTTCAGCCCATTTTTTAAAAATTCAATTTTCCACTTTTCAGCACCCCCAAACCAAACCACAAAAAAAATGGTGAATTTGTTCCCGAAAACCGTCGAATCCGACGAGGAAATGGAAATCGACGAATCGGACGATGAACAAGTCAACGACGAGGCAGTCACAGTACGAAAGAAGAAGAAAATCGCCAACGCGGCAGAGGAATTCGCACAGGACTTCGTTTTTGAGTCGGATTCGCTTTATGTGGATAGAGAGACGGAGGACTTGCAAAAGTATCTGAAAAAGCAGAATCCAACGAGTCTCGATGAGAAAATTGCGGAAATGAGGAAGTTGAAGGTGCGGTTTCACTTTGAAAATGAGCTGGAGGGTTCAAAATGTAACCTAGAACCCTAATATCGAACTAAAAGTCATCAAACTTTGCTCAGCTCGCTAAGAGCTTCAAAATGAGCCTAAGCAAAACTAGATTCTGAACATTTTTGGGATTACTGTAGGCTTATTCTGAAGCTCTTGACGAGCTTTAGCTCATTTTAAGCAGAATTGCAGCCGGATAATTCAATTTTTGGCCTCAAAAAATGACCAAAAATCCAATTTCCAGAACACTGGAATAGCTGTAATCGTTCTGAAAATTTTCGGGATTACCGTACTTTTCGTGATGGGACCCAATTTTAATGAAATATAGCCGTAATTAGGCTCATTTTGAAGCTGAAAACGAATTGAATACACCATTTTCAGTCAAGTTACAGTAGATTTTCTTAAATTTCGGATTTTTCGAAATTTGAAAAAAATAGCTCTTGATTTACCAAACCCAATTGTTTCCAAAATTTTCAAAACTGGCAAAAATGAACAACGTTATGAGTTTATTCTCAAAAATGACCTAAAAATCAATAGCCAGCTCCCATAAGCTCTAAAAGAAATCTGAAATTCTGAAATTCTGAAAGATTAAAAATCGGGAAATCTGAAATTTTCAAATTTCCAGAACACTGGAAAAGCTGTGATCGTTGACAACGAGGCTGACGACGTGGAAATCAACGAAGACGACGACGTTCAACAGTTGGGTGGAAAAGAGACGAGGGATACTGTAAGAGAGAAGAAGAAGGCGGGAAAATCGAGAAAAGTCGCCGACGGTGATGATTTCTTCTCGGCACTCATCGATGGAAAATCGCTGGATACCAATGTGAACGTCTCCTTTGAGCAGATGAATCTGAGTAGACAGATTCTGAAGGCGTGCGCTGGAGCAGGCTATTCGGATCCCACACCCATTCAACAGGCGTGTATTCCGGTAGCCTTGACTGGAAAGGTGAGGGTTTTTTGGTTGGAAAACTCTCTTAAAATTTGAAATTTCGAAAAAAATCGGAAATTCTGAAATTCTGACTCTCTCAAGTCTAAAAATATGAGATTCTGAAAATTAGAAAATCTGAAAGTCTGAAGATCTGAAATTTCGAAATTCTCAAAACCTGCGATTCTAAAATTCTGAAAGTCTAAAAAATCTGAAATTCTGAGGTTCTGAAATTCCGCGTTTCTGGAATTCTGATTTTGAAGTCTAAACATCTTGAAGCTTGAAATTCTGTAAATTCGAAATTCTAAGATTCAGAAAATCTAAAAATTGCGAATTCTGGCGTTCTGTGAATTCGAAGTTTTAAGATTCTGATATTCTGAAAATCTGAATTTTAGAAAATTTGAGATTTTGAAAGTTTGAGATTTTAACAACCTGAAATTTTTATTTTCTGAAAATCTAAAAATCTGGAATTCCGAGAATCTGAAATTCGGGAATTCTAAAATTCTAAAAATCAAAAAATCTGAAATTTCGAAATTCTAAAAATCTAAGAATCTGAAATTCTGAGATTCCGAATTTCTGAAATTTCATATTCTGAAATAGTGATTTTGAAAAACTGAAAATGTAAAAATCTGGAATTCTGAGAATCTGAAATTCGGAAATTCGGGAATGCGAAAATTCTAAAAATCTAAAAATCTTATATTCTGGTATTCTGATATTCTGAACGTCTAGAAATATGAAGTTCTAAAATTCTGAAAATCTCAAAAATCGAAAAATCTGAAAATTCAAAAACTAGAGATTCTGAAAATCTGAATTTCAGAGTTTCTGAAATTAGAAAACTTTAACATTCTGGAAATCTGTGATTCTGAAATACTCAATTTTTGTGAGTCTGAAAGTCTGAAGTTCAGGATTTCAGAGTGCAGAATCTCACATTTTCGAAGCCTCAGAATTTCAGAATTTTAGGATTTCCGAGTCTCAAATTTTTAGATTTTAGACGTTTGGGATTCTAGAAATTAAGATTAAAAAATCTAAAGTTTCAATTTTCCTAATTCCTGTTTTTCCAGGACATTTGCGCTTGCGCCGCCACTGGTACCGGAAAAACCGCTGCCTTCGTACTCCCAATCCTTGAACGTATGATCTACCGTCCAAAAGGAGCCAGCTGCACTCGTGTGCTCGTCTTGGTGCCAACTCGTGAGCTGGCGATTCAAGTTTTTCAAGTTTTCCGAAAACTGTCGACTTTCATCCAACTGGAAGTTTGTTTGTGTGCAGGTATGTTTTTGAGAAAGGTCTTTTATTCAAGGAAGAAAAGGAACAAAATACATATATAACAAGAGTGTGGGGGCCCGTTAGAGAAGAAGGTTGAAACATTATAAATTAGGTTTTTGGAGCGAGAGAGAGCAAATTAATAATTGGTAGCTGAAAGCGATGGTAGAAGAGATCCCGACCGATTTGGTGTTTCTTTTCCATATACGGAAATATAGGCGAACAGGAAAACGGACAGAGCGGCGGAGGTGTAGAAAGCAAAGGTGTAGTGGAGGTGTTCGACCAATTGAGAAGCGTAGATTGGGAGAATGAAATGGGTCAACCATTGGACCATCGATGCCAATCCGGTAGCTTTTCCAAGATCGGTGAGCTCGACGGCGCTGCAAAAATGAGGAAGATTTTGGTTGGAAATTGTCGAAAAACTATGGAAAATGAGCCTTTTTAGGTCATGAATGACCCTAAAATCATTCAGAGCAAAATTCTGCTAAATATGGCTAGTTCGGGTCGGATTTCAGCTTTGGAGCGTGTTATTTTGAATATATAGTGCCCCAATTTTGATCTAGAACAGCCGAAATTTCGGCTGAAAATCGTCAAATTTGGTTATCACAATTCAGCGGGAAATGGTTGATCTTTTGAAATCTTAATGACCAAATTTGGATCGACCCAGATCTGACCGACAACAGTCCAGTTTTAGGTTAAAAAAGTTAAAAATTGGCTTGAAATGAGCTCTGAATGCTCGAAAAATAGCCTGAATTGCTAAAAACTGGGCTTAACGTTCTCCAAAATCAACTTCAAATGCTCAAGGAATGGGCTTAAAATGATTAAAAATTTGCTCAAAATGCTCAATGACGGGCTCAGAACTCAAGCTCAAAATTCTCAAAAAATTGGCTTAAAATGCTCGAAAAATATCCTAAATTGCTAAAAAACGGGCTTAACGTTCTCCAGAATCAGCTCAAAGCCTCGAACTACGGCTTAAAATCAACTCACGTGGTGATCTGTGTAGAACTCTCAGCATAGGCAACTGCATAGGCGGCAGTCTGCACAGCGGTAATCATCAGCATTTGCTCGAAGCTATTAGCAAATGCAGCGGATAGATAACTGATAAAAAGTCCAACCAAAGACACTTGCAACAGTCTCTTTGGACTGGCTCTGCGTTGAACAATCGGCATGACGATGAACTGAACGGCGAGAAGAGATCCAGCCATGGTCAGAAGGACGTAAGCACTCTCGTTGGTGTTGTGCATGTAGTTACGGAGCAAAAAGTTACGAGAGATCATTTCGTAGCAAACGTAGGCGGAGATGAGGAGAGCACGAATGAGGAGACCCTCCTTGAGAGCAGAGTTCTTGGAAATCATGTGCCAGTAATCTTGTGGACGAAGACGGGCGGAGGCAAGACGTGGGATGGAGTGGGTTGTTGGGAGGAGGAAGAAGACAACTGGGATCATAGTTCCGGCGAGGACGAATCCGACGATGAATTGAGAGGTTCGGAGGGACGTCCAGGCGGCCACTTTGGAACCCACGATTGGTCCGAAGAACATGGCGATGGCCTGGAAATGGGATAAGATATGAATTGGAATCATAAAGATCCCAAGTTGAGAATCCCAACTCACCTGTGGAATAGTCAACCTCATCAAAGCGCTCGTCCTTTCACTTTCCGTTGTCACTGTTGCCAAGTACATTTCAGCAGTTCCATCCAACTGATAACCGAATCTTAACACCTGAAGAAAGAAGAACGAGTACCACGATCTAGCCATCGAGATTCCAGAGTAGTAGACAGCGGTGAACACGGCAGACAGAAGGAACATGGATTGGGCTCCAAGGGTATCTGCGAGCTGCCCGGCTGCCAGAGCTCCGAAGGCGTTGCAAAGGGATCCGAACGCTTGGATGTATCCCAAGTCGGTGATGGTCATCACTTCTTCGGTGTCCCATTGGAGGAACGAGAGGAGGGTGGTGGTCCATTGGGTGGCGAAGTGCCAGAGTCCGAAGACTAGGCACAGCACGAACATTACTTTCTGCTTTTTTTCGAATGACATTTTGAGTGGTGGCGGGTTTTGGTTACTGTAATTTGGATTGGTTTGGATTGGAGAAGTTCAGAAGATGAAGATCAGAAAGAAAGTAAATTCAAAATCGATCTAAAAAGAACCAGAAGACGTGCCGCGTAAAAAGGATAAATTCTGATTCGAAAAGTTCAGAAATTCAAGATTTTTTGAATTCGGAAAAGTTCTGGATTCTTGAACCCGCCGATGGTCGGTGTCAGAATTCTGGAAAAGAATCAAGATACATAGGATCAGATGACGTGGCAAGTTCCGAATTTCAGGATTTTTTGAATTCTGAGTCCCGAAACCCATTTACGGAGTCAGAATTCCGGAGAAGCATAGAATTGCTGAGTCTAGGATTTACAAGATTCAGAATCCGAAAATCGAAAAGTCAGGAACTCATTTTGAAGCTGAAAATCTAGACTTCGAAATTTGAATTTCTAGAAGATGCTGAAATTCGGAATTTTCAATTTTTTTTAGAAAATCGGAAATTTCAAATTTCAAGCTTTGGATTGTAAACATCCGGATCCTGAATTCTTCGATTCTAGAATCCTAATCATTATCAAAAGATCAGACGCCTCAACAAGCAAAATAGAAAAAAACTGCAAAAGTGGCAACAACACAGATAAGCCGAAACGGCAACACACAGGAGAGGTCTACGGATCACGTATATCGGAAGAAGAAGAAGAAGGAAAAAAAGATGGTGTGAGAAAAGAAGAAGAAGAAGCGATTGGCAGTATAGATACACATACACAGCAGCAGCAGCGCGGCAGGGATAGTCCAGGCAGGATTCGATGCGGAAAACCCGATGGAGAGGGAGAATCTGGATTTCTGAAGAAGAAGCTGACGTCTTCTACTCCCCTCCAGCTGCGGCAGGCGACGGGGTTTAGTACACAGAAGAGGGAGAATTATATGTAAAGCTTGTGGCGTTATGCTTCGTGATTATTCTCCGATATATTCAACATGTGTAATACCTGAATAAAGCGCGGTGGCGGGATCTGGTTAGCCTATCCCCACCGCTGCTGCCTCCTAATCATAAAAGGCATTACGGTCACTCTGGCGATATCCATAAAAAAGCGGCGAACACTTTTTTTTGGGAAGTGTGGTCACCACACACTTTTTTTGATGAATATCTCCTGATTACGCTAGATGTAGTGACCGTAATGCATTAGGCCAACTATGCTAGCTTGTTGGGCAATCGTTTTTTTTCCGCAAAGAAGGAGGAGGAGAAGGAGTGATTTTTGGAATAATGATGGAGTTTTAATGACCATATATAAAGAGGGGTCGGGTTTGATGAATGAAAACTTTGGTGTTTTGGGACTGGACGGCAAGAAGTCAGGAAATTTGATTTCAAATGAAGGGAGAGAAAATACCCCGAACCCTGTATTAGAAGGGCCCGTGTTAGAAGAGAAATTTCTGAAGCCCTTCTAATAGATGTGTTACTGTAGACATCTGGAGAGCCTAGAACATTGGAAATGTTCTGAATTGCGATTTGAAAATTTTCTGGAACTCACAATTCAAGATCTGGTGGTTTTTCTGATCTCGTGACATTTGGAAGACGGAGTTCGAGACTTCGGGTATTTGAAGTCGAGATCATAAGGATCCTAGATCCTATGACTCCTAGCTCCTAGACGACACAGATCCAGGTTCTTATGATTCCATGATCCTCTTGAACCCTAGATCCTATTATGGATTGTGGATCTTAAATCCTATGAATCCTAGATCTTATAGATGCTACGGTCCTATGGATGCTATATTCTAGATCCTTGATACTGGATCTTCTGAGTCTCAAGTCATATGGATCTTGAATTCTATGGATCCTAAATATTTTGATCCTAGAGCCTACGAATCCTAGGTCTTCTAGTTCTGGAGCTTTATGGGGTTGAGGTCCTATGAATCCTAGATCCTATGGATCCCAGATCCTATGGATCCCAGATCCTATGGATCCCAGATCCTATGGATCCTAGATCCTATGGAACCTAGAACCTATGGACCCTAAGACAGGACCTATGAAATATAGGATCTTATGGATCCTATGACTCCATGGCCCTATAGCTCCTAGACCATCTAGATCCTTGATGCTAGATCTAATTACTCCTAGATCCTAGGTCTCCTGAATCTAAAGTTCTACAGGTTTCAGATTTTATGAATCCTAGATCCTACCTGCTCAATCCCAAGATCTTATGGATCCCAGATCCTCTTAATTTTATACTCCATGACCAAAAATGTACAGAAATCTTTTTTCCGAAACTTTTTCAAAAATATTCCGAATCAATCATTTATGGGAAAACTGTCTATTTTTCTCAAGAAAAATGACATTCTTCAAAATATCCTTTCCTTTCCTTATTCTCAAGAATTCTTTGATCATATGGTTTTTCGCAATGGCATATCCCGCCAAAAACATCTATCGGAATGGACCAAACACCAATAAACCTTGCAAAATTACAAATTCAAACGAAACGATTTTTAAGGATTTCGTTATTCCTAACGAAACGGATGCGATTGAAAAAAGAGAAGAATAAGAATAGAAAGTTGCAATATATCGAATTGCTATGATTTTTACATTTCTCTAAATCTCTCTATTTCATTGGAGGATGTTTAGAGAATAAGAATAAGACGGCGGCGATTCTTCAGAATCCATCCGAATGAGAGAGAGAGAGAACAGGTTCCTCTCGCCTCTTTTTCTCTATGACATCTCCGTCACAATGACCATGTCTCTCTTGTATAGTGTGGTGTCGTAGTGGTGGACAACCGATTAACAGCACTTTTCTCGAGACACGAGGGAGGCGCTGCTGGGAGAATAAATGAAGGAATGGAGTGGAAAAAAAAGAAACTAAGAACACGGAAGATGGCATTGGTTAGAATCCGACGCCTTCTGGAGACTAGACGTGGAAGATTCTAGAATCTGTGAGATTCCTGAAGACTGCAGATGTCTGTAGATCCCAGGGATCGTATGACTTACAGCTCTATGTGTTTTATAGAAATAAATCACATGGACCCTATGTATCCTATAATTTCTATTGATTCTATGAATTCAATAGATCCAGGATCCTAGCATCCATTTTGCCTTGGTAAGGTTGGCATCGGTCAGAATCCGAAGCCTTCTGAAGACTAGACGTGGGAGATTCTAGAATCCGTGGAACCCCAAGATTCTTGTAGGTACCACGGATCGTAGATCCAATAGGTACCAGGGATAATATGGCCTACAGTTCTATGGGTCCTATAGATCCCAAAAGTCCTACAGATCCTATACACCTTATGGATCCTAGTACTTATATTTTCTTCATGGGATCCTGGAATCTAGGTTATGTGATTCTTAAAGATGCAAGAATTTCATGAATTCTATGGATCATATAGATTCCCACAGATCCAACAACGACACAAGCAATACTAAACAAAGGATTCATTACATATTTCATTATTAAGAAGAACATGGAAGATGACATTGGTGTGAATACGAAGCCTTCTGGAGACTAGATTCTAAAGATCCATGATTTCTGGAATCCGGTACTTCCCAAGATTCCTAGATATCCCTTGGCTTTCAGCCCACTGGATCCATAAGGTCCTATAGATGCCAAAGATCTTATACATTCTGTGAAACCCGTAGATCCAGAATTCTAGAACCTATCGTGTCTAGATACTGTGGACCACACAGATTCCTAAAATCCTATAGATATCATAGACCCTGTAGGTCACAGGGATCGTATGGTTTTGATCCCACTTGATTCTGAAGATCCTATAGATCCCAAAGCTAGATTCATAGAACCTGGAACTAAAGACCTATGGCGAGCTTTCATGAATCCTATGGATCCTTTAGATTCTCTAAATCCAAAGACCCAGAAACGAAACAAGCAATACTACACAAACGATTTATTCAAAAATAAATACACATAATCCTCACTCATACTTCCCAGAAAAGCCGGGCAAGTACTCGGAGCTAAAAACCATGGAACTGCCGAACTTTCGAATCATTCCCACAGCCGCACCCGACAACACCGCACTCATCAGACACAACGAAACGACGTCGTGATGGGCGGTCAGAGTTCCGTGAACGAACGGAACCAACAGCGTCGCCGCCAGTTGACTCATCCGAAGAACCGAAGCGGCGGTGCCGGCCTTCCGTTTGCCAATGGCACCCATCAGTTGGGAGGAGAGTTCGCCGATGCAGATCGTCGCGGCGGCCACCTGCAATTTGTTGTTTGAGGAACACAACGCAATGAGATAATAACAATAGGGAAGTGGGCAAACAAGAAGGCGCGAATACGGAACCTTGATGGTCTTTGAGCCTTTCTGACCACTCACCAGGAAATTGGAAACTTGGAAACCTTCCAGAAGCTTCCAGAGACTTCCAGGGGATGCCATAAGATTACAAAGGCTTCCAGAAGCTTCCAGAATATTCTAGAACACTCACCTGAACCGGCATCCCGATGAACAGATGAATCAGATCATGAAACACTGCCAAATACAAGTAACTCGCTCCAAGCACCGAGAACGATCCAGACAACAACGCCTTTGTAGAAATCGTACTCTGCAACTTTGGCAGCAGCACAGTATTCACTAGAATCGTGGTGAGACCCAGCGTCAGGAACAAGTTGTGCATGTGGTTGGGATCTCGGATAGCACTGGATGCCATTGAGTTCCTCACCAGGGAATCATAGGCGGTGTAGGGTCCGGTGACCATCATAAGGAGAAGGGCGTAGAGTTTGACATTGTCGCTTTTGAGCACTTCAAAGTAGCTGGAGAAATTAGGAGTTAGGGAGAGGTCTGAAAATTTGGAGAGTCATCGGGAACCCCTAGCAAGAACCCACTAGTATTTGGATTATCCGGAAAATAGTTCCAAATCACTGGAAGCAGTGTGAACACTGCTAGGAATCCACAGAGAGCTTGACTGATCTCCAACGATGGTGTCACAAAGAAAATCATCTGAAGGGCACAATAAGGTCCCAGAGCGTAACCAATACTCTGTGGGATCATGATCCGAGTGATCAGACGGGTTCTCTTCTTATAGTCGCCATCCTCGCTTTCTAGATTCAGAATCGCCGCGTCGATAATCATTTGCATGTTGTTGAAGAGGAGAAGGGATTGGAGGAAGATGTAGACGTAGAGGTTGGAGAATTGGCAGACCAGGAATTGATAGAGGATGACGAAGGCTGAGGAGATCATTGCCGAGTTGCGAAGACCCATAACCTCGATCTGGAAGAGAGTAATGCATTCTAGAAGAGCTAGCTTTCAGAAGAATCTGTAACATTCCAGAATCTGGAATCGGTCCTATAGAATCTAGGATCCACAGAAGCCCAGCCTGGAATACAGAACTCACCATTCTGGCCACAAAAAACGTTCCGATCAACGTAAAACTTGTTGAGATCGCCGTAAGCCATATAAAGTTGTCGATTCCGACATTCGGCTGAAGGTTCCACTGAACGAATGGGATCAGCGAGCGAGTCCATTGATCGTAGGTGTGATAGACGCCTGGAATGAGATGAGATTGGATTAGACAGGCACATCTAGCAAGAGTGATATATTGACAACGTGGTTCGAGCGGGAAGCTCCCTTGTTCGATAGAGCAGCTCTGCTAAACCTTTGTTCGCTAGAGCAGGTTAGCTATACCTAGAGTGTGCTCTATCTATTACGTGGTAAGGAGCTCTACCAAGCCTTCTACTCCTAGACTGCTACATTGCGGCGCTTAGAACTATGCAGAGCTGAACAGAGTGAGTCAGAACCAGCTAGAGCTAATCAGAGCGAGCCAAAGTTATGAAAAGCTAACCAGAGCGAGCTTGAGCTAATCGGAGTTATGCGATTAGCTAGAGCGAGTTTTCAAGCTCATGGAGGTCTATAGACCCTTCTGCTCCTAGACTGCTACACTGCGCTCAGAGCTGATCAGAGCTAATCAGAGAAAGCCAGAACTACGCAAAGTTAATCAGAGCAAGTTTTCAGCTTCTAGCTTTGATGTCTGGCAAGCTATATAACACAGTTTAAGCTAGCGGAAATCGCTAGACCGCTCTACTGATAACACTTTTATCACTAGAGCGCACTCACCTGTGGACGCCAACAACGCCAGCTCATGACGACTCTTCTCGCGTCGGTTCATAGTTGAAAATGAATTGGGGGATTTGGATACACCTCTCTCCTTTCCTCCCCATCCCATTCCACAGATGGCACTGTTTGCCTAGCTGGAGGGGGAACTATCTAGCTACTCTGTATTACGTAGACAACAAAGGGATTCATTTGAAAAAAAGTCAGAAAAAATTGAGCTTCAAAAGTGCAGAAAATTTGGACAAACAGACACACAGATAGATCTGATTTGAAAGTCGAAATATTGATTTTCAGGAGGATTGGATCTGAAAGCTCAAGAAGCCGCCCTTCGTTCTGGACCAGATGTCGTCGTCGCCACGCCAGGACGTCTTATTGATCATTTGCACAACTCGCCGAGCTTCAATTTGGCATCTATTGAGGTATTTTTGAGCCTAGAAAAGGAAAAATTCAGAAATTCGGAAATTCAGGAATCCAAAAATTTGAAAAATCGAAATTTCAAAATTACAAAAATTCGGAAATTCGTAAATCCAAAAATTTGAAAATTCGAAATATTAGAATTTTAAAGTTTCAAAAATTGAAAAATTCAGATTTTCGAAAATTCAAAAAATCTGAAAATTCGAAAATTTAGAAATTCTAAGTTTTGAAAGTTCAGGAAGTCAGGATAACGAAAATTCAGAAATTCCGGAAATTCAAAAATTCGGAAATTCAACATTTCGGAAATTCGAAAATTAAAAAATTCAGGAAGTCAGAAACTCAAAAGTTCAAAATTTCAATATTTTGAAAATTCGAAAAATCTCAAAAATTTCGAAAAATTAGAAATTCAGAATTTCAATAGTTCATAAAAATTCGAAAGCTCATAATTCGAAAAATCAAACATTTTAAAATTCGAAAATTACAAAAATTCCAAAAATTCAGGAAATCGGAAACTCAAAAGTTCAAAAGTTCAAATTTTTGGAAATAATTCAAAAATCAGAAAATGGAAGGACGAAAATTCAAAAATCAGAAAATTCGGAAATTCAGGAATCCGAAATTCCTGAACTTCTGAGTTTCTCAATTTTTGCATTTTTGAATTTTCAATTTTCTGAATTCCTGAAGTTTTCCAATTTTTCATCCCTAACATCTAAAATATCCAGGTTCTCGTGCTCGACGAAGCCGACCGTATGCTCGAAGAAGCGTTCCGTGACCAAATGAACGAACTGATCCGTCTGTGCGCCGAAAACCGTCAAACCCTTCTTTTCTCCGCAACAATGACCGAGGAAATCGACGAACTCGCTTCGATGTCTCTCAAGAAACCCGTGAAAATCTTCATCAACGAAAATACAGACACCGCTTTGAAGCTCCGTCAAGAGTTCATTCGTATTCGTGCCGGAAGAGAGACAGATCGAGAATCAATGGTGGCTGCTCTGGTGACAAGAACCTTCCAAACCAATACAATCGTTTTTGTTCGAACCAAAAAAGACTGTCAGCGAATGCAAATTCTTTTGGGCCTCCTTGGAATCAAAGTGGGTCAAATGCAGTCCAGTTTGACGCAGGGACAACGTATCGAATCGCTGTCAAAGTTCAAAAAAGGAGAGATAGATGTCTTAGTCTCCACTGATCTCGCTTCTCGAGGTCTTGATATCGAAGGCGTCCAAACTGTTATCAATATGAATATGCCGAAATCCATCAAACAGTACATTCATCGTGTCGGACGTACGGCGCGTGCTGGAAAAGCGGGAAGATCGATTTCACTGGTGGGAGAGGAGGAGAGAAAGCTGCTCAAAGAGATTGTGAATTCCAATGCGGATAGAACTCTAAAACAGCGTCTTGTGGCACCAGAAGTCGTTGAGGCTTACAGAAGACGGATTGATGAGTTGGAGGAGACGATTCAGCAGATTGACGAGGAGGATCGCGCTGAGAAGGAGTTGAGAATCGCTGAGGCGTCGATGGCGAAGACTCAGCAAGCGTTGGAAGCCGTGGAGAATGGTGGAGCCGTGCAGGAGAAGAGGGTTTGGATGATGAAGGAGAGTCAAGTTGGTGAGTGGGTTTTGAGAGCCAAAATTTTTAAATCCAAAATCTCATTTATGAGCAATCCCATTAGAAGATTACTGTAGCCCTTCATTCGAGCCCAGAAACTTTGAAAAAAAAAACGTCTGGTTTACTGTGTTTATCGAGGATTACTGTTGCTAACAAAAAATTGAAGATTAAGAATGAGCAATCATTCTACAGTAATCCCTGAGCAATGCTAGTAGAATATAGTACAGTACCTCCTATCCGTACTCCCTATCCGAGGATTACTGTAGTTTTTCAGTCGAACTCAGAAACGTTTTTTTAAAATTATCTAGTTTACTGTATTTATTGAGGATTACCGTATCTAACAAAAAATTGAAGATCAAGAATGAGCAATCATTGTACAGTAATCCTTGAGGAATGCTATAATAATATGGTACAGTACTCCCAATCTGAGGATTACTGTAGTTTTTCTTTTCAACCCAGAAATTGTTTTAATCATCTGACTCCTGTATTTATTGAGGATTACTGTAGCTAACCAAAAATGGAAGATTAAGAATGAGCAATCATTCTACAGTAATCCCTGAGCAATGCTATAAGAATATGGCACAGTACCCCCTCTCCGTACTCCCTATCTAAGGATTACAGTAGTTTTTCATTCGGACTGAGAAATTAATTTTTTACAAAGCATTTGATTACTGTAGCTATTGAAAAAGTGAAGATAGAAGATCCGGAAATCTTGTTAAAGTGGCCCGAGTTTGATACGAATTCTGCAGGTCCTTAGATTTAAAAAATGTGAATTTTCGGATATCCAGAGGGCTTCGAAAAAGTGGGCGTGGCCTAATTTTCCAAGATTCAAGTGAATTTCTCATGTTCAAACATCTAGAAAATGTGGATTTTTGAACAATCCGATAAGAATTTGGTACAGTACTCCTTTGGGAGGATTACTGTAGTTTTTCAATCGAAGCCTGAAACTTAAAAAAAAAACAATCATCTGGTTTGCTGTATGGATTACTGTAGTTATTGAAAAATTGAAGATGTTGGGCAACTGCCAAAGTCTTCCGGATTACTGTAGAAATTGAAAATGAGCAATCATGTAAATTTTAATTCCAGAGAAGCAACGAAAACGCGATGAGAAGCGTCAAATGAAGATCGAGGCCAAGAAGAAGGCGCACGCCGCCAAGTCTCCAGAAGACATTGCCGCTGAGCACGAAGCCGCGTTCCACGTTCGATCGGCGAAACGCGCACGTCTCTCCAAGAATCGCAAGATCCGCGCCGTCGTTGAGTCGACTGGAAATGGTGGTGCCAAAGGAAAAGGAGCCGGTGGTCTTCAGAAGAAATCCAACGCCAAATCGTCACTTCGTGACATTCCACTTGTTAATGTGGGCGCTCGTGGCGTTCAGAAGTCGAAGACGGCATTCGGAGGAGGTCAGAAGACGTCAGGTGGACCGAAGAAGGCCGGAGGAAAGGGATTCACATCGGCACTGGCTTCAGTGTCTCGGAAATCTGTGAAGGCCGCCCGTCACGGACCAGAAGACTCGAAATTCCAGAAGGCTCGTGTCGCGCATCGTATGAAGACCAAGAAGCGTTAATTCTGTTTCTTTTTTGGTGTCATTTTTTTGTTGATTTTGTTTTTTCCCCTCCATTTTCGTTGTTATCGCCTTTTTACGCTGCAAATATGCTCTATTGTTAATTTTGTTTGTTTTTCTTTAAAAAATCTGAAATTTTGAAATTTCAAAAATCTGGAAAAAATCAAAAAATTTTCATGCTGATACTATATTTAAAAACCCGGAACAAAACTGAGAACAAGGACAAGAACTTCTGGAAAAAGCAACAGGATATTTTTGACTCAAAAAAAAGCATTAGAAAAAAAACCCGGCAAGTAAGAAGAGAGCAAGCGCGCTCTAGTGAAAATTTCTCGTTTCTGTCGAAAATTTTCAATAGAGCGCACTTGCTCAATATGAAATATGACGCGTGGCAATTAGGTGGCAATTAGTGAAGAGGTAATTAAAAATGTCTATTAGAAACACGTTGGAAAATCCCGCCGAAGCTCTCGTCGGCACTCTTTTTCCAGTAGATCAACGACGGCTCTCGTGTACAGTGGTTTAAGTTCCAATTTGACTAATTTGTATTTCAGCGAGCTGAGGCCGTCGGTTTTCCAGCGACGCTTTGTTTGACCCATGATTTTGTAGCGGCATCTGAAAGATATTTGGGTTACTGTAGCTAGCGAAGTGCAACTACGCTCTAATGCCAATTTCTTTTTAAAAAAAGTTTTTTGAAATTTGAAAAAAAAAATTGGGTTACTGTAGCTAGTAAATCGACCAAAACTGTAGCTAGTAAATCGACCAAAACTGTAGCTAGTAAATCGACAAAAATTAACTAATTTCGGAAAAAATCAAATTTTTGGAAATTTGAAAAAATCAAAATTGCAAATACGCTCTAATGCTAACTTCTCAAAACACCGTACTTATTGACTGGATTCGTGGCTTCTGTCGAGTGTTTTATCATTTTGTATCTGGCAATTTGTGCTGGATATCTGGAAACTTTCAGTCCGGCCTGCGATGTTCTCGTCGCCAAATCATCGTCCTCCCCGCCCCATCCCCAGAAGTCGTTCGAGAATCCGTTGATGGCTTTGACGTGTTCCTGAGTTAGAGCACTGATTCCTCCGAAGATCGCCGAGTAGGGAAGTCTGAATTTAAGCGATTTGGTTAACCGAATTCTCAAATTTGCGCGTCAAATTGTGTGTTTGCGTACATGATACACCAAACTAAAAAAGAGTCGTAAAATAAAGTGCTGCGTACGCAAACGCTCTCTGGGAAGTTGACGAGCAAATTTGTAAATTCGGTTGGCGCGGTCGGTCGTAGGTCGCCGTTTCTCGGCCAACCATAACGGTAGCCTAATCAGGGAGAAATTGTTTTTTCAAAAATTCCCAAAACCTCACTTATAGTGAAACTTGTCGATAGCGACGCTCATATGCCTTGGCTGTATGGGACACGTGTAGAGATTACGGTCATCTTCTGGTAACAAATCCACGTCATGGAAAATGAAACATTGCCATGGGTAGAGACGAGACGCCACATCGTAGCCAACGTTCATCAGCTGCAAAATTTTGGGTTTCTAGACCAGCTAGAGGTTTTTAGGCCATTTAAAATTTCTTGGGTCAATTTTTGGATTCACTAGGTCAAATCGGATTCCTAGGGCATCAGGAGGTTGTTAGGTCATTTCATATTTTTTGGCCATTCGGAGGTTTCTAGAACATTTTCGAGTGCTAGGCCATAGGGAGGTTTCCAGGCCATCAGTAGGTTTTTAGGTCATATTGGGTTTCTACGCCATATTGGATTTTTCTAGACCACCGGAAGGTTTTTAGGTCATATTGAATTTTCTAGGTTATTTTGGGTTTCTAGGCCATCAGAAGGTTTTCTAGGCCATCTAGAGGTTTCTGGGCCACCAGTAGATTTCTAGGCCAACCGGAGGTTTTAGGCTATTTTCAATTTTCTGGGTAATATTGGATTTCTAGACCACCTGAAAGTTTCTAGGCCATCGAGAGATTTCTAGGTCATTCACAATTTTCTGTGTCATTTTAGATTTTTAGGCCACCTGGAGATTTATCGGCCCTTTTTGATTTTAGTACATTTTTTGGTTTTCTAGGTCACCTGGAGGTTTTTAGGCCAACTTGCATTTCTAGGCCACCAGAAGGGTTTCAGGCCATTTTCTATTTTCTGGGTTAAATCGGAGTTCTAGGCCACCTAGACGTGTCTAGGTCAAATCGGATTACTAGGCCACCGATTCTAAATTTCTAGGCCACGGTCTCACCTTTCCGCGATTGAATGTCTGATTTGCGACTTGTTCTACAACGAAAATTGCATAATCCAATTGTTGTTTGGCTAGCAGGGAATGCAAATTGTGCAGCATGATTCTGAAAATTTTCAAAGTTTTGAATTCCCGCCGTTTGTGAATGTAAGGATTACAATCGGTCGCAAAATTTAATCGAACAGTGTTTGCGTACATGGCACTCAATTTTACGACTTTTTGATTGTGGATGCAAAAATGCTGCAGACGCAAACACGGTGACGCGCAAATGCACGGATTCGGTCGGCTATTTTTGACCGGCCAATTTGAGCCGCTTTTTTCTGCCATTTTTCTGACATTAAATTTCAAATGCGCTCTACTGACAAATTTTTCGAAAACGAGGTTTTTTGAAATTTGAAATTTAAACACATCGAAATATTGTAAGTGCGCTCTAACGTCAAATTGCTCACCGCAAATGCGCCTCTCTATCTCGATACGGTACAATGATGGCTACACGGTGGCGTGCGACGCATTCTGTCGGAATTCCATGCCCTCCAGGATGCGTTTCCGGATAGATTTTTTCGAGTGTCGCAAAGTCTGGCTCATCCAAAAATACACGAATCGGTCCGACGAGATGTGGCGGTGTCTGGTTGCAGTGGGGACGCGTTTCGTTCGCATCGCCGAAGAGAATCGGGCGGATGTCTGGAAATTTGAGATTTTCAGAGTCGTTTTTCATATACAAATGCGCTCTAATGGCGAAAATATTATTTATAATTTTCCGAAAAAAAAGTTTTTTGAAAAAAATTCGAATTTCCTCCATTTTCGTTAGAGCGCGTTTGTGAAAACCGATAATTTGAAAACTTTCTAAAATTTCAATTTATTAAAATGTTTCGATTTCACAAATTCGCTCTAATGTCAACGATGAAGAAAATTTCGAAAACCAAAAATTTCAGAAAAAAATCGATTTTTGTCTGAATTTTTGATCTTCGCAAATGCGCTCTAATGGCAAAAATATTTTTGAAATTTTTCTGAACATTTTTTTTCAAATGCGCTCCAATGACAAAAATAGAGAAAAATATTATATGTATAAATTTTTTTCGAAAATTGAGACCCGGGATTGAATTTCCTATTTTTCGGATGTCTGATTCCACGGAAATTTTAAGATATTTTTAAAAACCAAAATTTTCAAATTTCCCGCCAATTCTCAATAGAGCGCACATTCATTACCTTCCATGAAAGCGGTTTGATTCACTTCGGAAATAGGTGAAAACGTAGAATTCCAGACGTCAAATGGGTCATCTGAAGTGGATGCCGTGTTTCCGAGTACCGCTTCCATCGCGTCGACGTCGGCGATGAGCGTCGAGGAGCCAATGGAGAAGTTCTCGTAAAGAGAGGGGACCTGGAAGAGGAAATTGGATTTCTAGGCCATCGAAAGCAGAAATTTTGAATTTTTTGTGCATTTTTGTGATTTTCTTGTGTTTTTTCCTGTAATTTTCGTAATTTTTTTTGTAATGTTTTCAAATGTTCTGCCCATGGCCGAGTGTGGATTTCTCGGCCACACTTCCACACGCACCTTATAAATCATTGCATGAACGAGAAGAAGGGCGGCACAAAGGACGAAGAATGTTTTGAGTTTGGCGGAGGCCAAATGCCGAAAAGCCATCGATCATGAGTGACGGAGAAGCACGCGAAGAACCTGAGCGGGGAGAGGGAAATTGAAAAAATTGAAAGTTTTTGGGTGAAATTTCATGAAATTAGAAAAAAAAATGTTTTTGGGATTTTGGTTTGTTTGAAGAGAAATTTGGAAAACAGTAAATTCGCTCTATTGACTTTCGAAAATTTGATATTTGAATTTTTCATTGAAAATGTGAAAATCTAGCAGCCAGAAAATGTTTCCGGATTTTTCAGCAAAAACATTGGAAAACAGCAAATGAGCTCTATTGACAAATTTTAAAGAAATTCCAATTTTTAGAAAATTTCGATTTTTTAATTCGAAAAATTTCCAAAAAATGTTTTCCAGAATTTTCAGCGAAAAAAAATTAATTTTTAAGAAAAAAAACTAGAAAACGACTGATGCGCTGTGTTGAAAATTTCAATTTTCGTGAAAAAATGCAAAATTTTCAGAAAATTGCGGTTTTGCGCTCCATTGACAATTCTTTAAAATAAGTACTTCTAATAAATTTTGTAGAAAACAATTTCATCGAAAAGATCAAAGTTTCTAAATATCGTATATAATTCGAAAATTCAAGAAAAGAAAACGACGAACGCGCTCTATTGACCATTTTTAAGAAATTGCGAATAGCGCGAAGGCACAAAAAATTGACAAATTCATTGAAAATTCGATGATTTAGCAGCTAGATTTTAGCTCAGATCGCTCTGAACTTGCCTGGGAAGCGTGGAATTTGAAACGTTTTTTTTTGTTGAAACTTTTGGAAAAAATTGAGTCAAATTCAGAAATTTTGGGGCGCTTTTAGCGCGTTTTTCTATGTTCAAAAAGCAATAGAAAAAAAAACTAGTTACATCAATTTCCACTTTTCTTTTTTCTTCGTTTTATTTGGGTCGAATATCTCTCTCACTTACCTTCATTCGATCGAGTAATTTGATATAGAATATTAGTATGTGTATATAGGTAATTAAATAGCCAAGTCCCTTTTTTAATTGAGCTGGAAAAAATAGATAAACAAATTTATTGATTTATTCAGGTTACAAATATTTTTTTTTCGACAAAAAAAAGTAATATGCAAGGAGAAAAAAGATGAAAAAAAGAGAATAAAAAGAAACCAGGAAGCGGAGAAGAAGGGAGAAAAAAGACAACAATTTTCTTTTCTCTCCCTCTTTTTAGAGAGACGCAGAGAAAAAGAAAAAGGGGTATATGACTGGGAAATTTTCCTCTTCCATTGCTTGTTCTTGCGAAACTATTTTTGTGATTTTTTGACGTCTTCTTTAATTAAAAATGCATTGAAATCATCTCGTAATTAAAAATTGATAAATTTCCCCCATAGAGTGTGTGTAAAAGAAGGAGACGCAGAGAGAGGGGAAGGCGCGCTCTATGGAGAAATATAAATATTTTTCTGTTTTTTTCTCGGAAATCAAAGATTTTCACCTAAAAAACCTTTTTTCAGCGACAATTTCAGATTTTTATTGTTCTAGAACTCTTGACCGTTTAATTTGACGCATTTTGATACCAAAAGAGACTTCAAAAAGTCATTAAAAACTCATTAAAATTCAAATTTTCAGTAATGCCGAAAAAGTTCGCCACCGAGAATCCAAAGGTGACGGCTGCCCGGGACCGGAAGGCCACTGCCAAGAAGGATGAGGCTGATAAAAAGGCCAAAGTAAAATTTTTTTTCAAAATTTTGGAAATTTTTTCAAATTTTTAGGCCGCCGAGGACGCTAAATGGGTAGATGATGATAAATTGGCGAATCGCAAAATGCAGCGGAAGGTAATTTTTAAAAAAATTTAAACTTAAAAGATTAACAAATTCCTTCAGGAGGATGACGAAAAGAAGCGAGAGGAGGCTCTACGGCGAAAAGAGGAGAATAGAAAGATGGCCGAGGAGGAGATGAGTAGTCTTGGAAACAAGAAACCGGCGGCGTCTTCGGCTCAGAAAGTCACAAGGTGCGAAAAGTGGAATTTTGAGAAAAAATTGATTTTTTAGAATTTTAAAATTTTTGAAAAAACAATTTTTTTTGAAAAATTTTTCAAAAATTAATTTCTTTCCCACCCAATTTTTAGCTCAAAAATTCAAATTTGGACTCAATTTCCAGCGAAAATCAACTCTAGACCTTGTTTTCAGAGCTCATATCCACATTCGCAAGGAAGATGAGGAGCGTATCATGCGTGAGCTCGAGGAAAAGCGAAAACAAGAAGCGCAGAAGATCGAGGTGGCCGGCGAGCTGGAAGAGAATTTCAATAAGCTGGAAATCGAGGAGGGCGGAGCCAGAAACGTGGACGAGGCGTTGAGAGTGCTGGGCGATGAGAAGGCTGTCGAGGAGGATAAGCATCCCGAGAAGCGCATGAGAGCTGCGTATTTGGTAAGAAATAAGTGAAAATGGACGAAACATTCGTTTTCAGCGCTAAAAATTGGGCTAGAACCCTTAAAAATGGCCTAGAAAACTCCAGAAAATATTTTTAGGCCATCAATTTTTTTTTCGATATGAAAAGTTTTTGAAAAATCCCCATTGTTTATGGCTTATAAACAAAAAAAATGTATATAAAAGTTTTCATAAACATTTGGAAAAACGAATAGAAAGTCAAAAATCACCCTGGTCTAACTTTGAAGATTTCTAGGCCATCGAACTCACAGTGGCCTAGAAAATGACTTTCTAGGCCATCGAATGTCCCGTGGCCTGAAAAACGATTTTCTAGGCCAGCTGATGTCTCATGACCTAGAAAAATCACACCCAATTATCGATTTTTGCAGGCGTTCGAAGAAAAGCGCATGGCCGAACTCAAAATCAAGCATCCCACATTCCGTTTGTCTCAACTCAAGCAAGTGCTCAAGAAAGAGTGGCAAAAATCGCCGGAAAATCCGCTCAACGCCCGTATTCTTGCACTTTCCAAGTGATTTTTCAATTATTGATTTATCGATTTTCTATGTTTTGAGCCCCCCACTTCTTCCTGTGTCCCCAAAGAAATTTCTATTTTTTCCATCCCGATTGTCGTCTTTGATTATGGGTTATTGATTCTATTCTTTCTTATAGAAATGAATTCGTTTTGTTTTTGTTAGAACGAAATTAGATTTTAGATTTTTTTAATCTCAAAAAAGCTTCTCTCCCTCGTTTTCTCTCTCGAAAAGTTTCGCCGCGCCACACCTTTATCTACGCCTTGCACTCCATGGTGAAGCTGATATGCCCATCCCTAAATTTGGAATATGTTGGATGTGTCCTTAGATTGGGACACATCCAACAAATGTGGTCTAACAATAACGATCTAACAATAACGACTTCAAAAATCTAACAATAACGACTTCATCATCATCGTTAGATGTATCACATCTAGGTTACTGTAGACAGCGATCGGTGCGGCGTGTTTGCGGACTTTTTTTCCATCATTTTTTTATCGCTGAATGTTGTCGCGCTTTTTCCTTTTACGTTTTTTCAGACTTTTAGCGGAACTTTTACCCCAAAAATTCATTTTTCAGAACCAAAGTTACCAATTCGGTCGTCTTTTGCGAAACACTCATCAACTCATCTCAAGACGTGAGTTCGTTTTTTTTACGTTTTTTCAGACTTTTAGCGGAACTTTTTTAGCGGAAAAGTCTCGATTGGAAGAAATTCCGTCATTTCACAACACCATCGGATCACTACGAGACTCCATATCAAAAGAAGGAATTCGTCCTAGATTGCGTCTACATCCACGATATTCTTCGTACGTTGATTCTCGCCGGAGGTGGATACAACGGACCAACAATGAAGGGAGGACCACTCCGAATCCATTTCACCTCCCAACATCTGGAATTGGTCTTCCGCGGACCGTTGGCGAATGGACGAGGATTCTTGGCCTTGAAAACCACGACACCGGAGGCCTCGAAGATTTGGAAGGAATGGAAAAAGGTTCCGACCTTCAGCCACGTTGAGGACGTCGACCACGGGTCTTTGGGCAAACCAGCTAACGTCTTCAAGAACAGACTGAAACTTGCGGAGGAATACTACCTTGGACCCTCCTTCCGAGTTTGGGTTGAATCAGGATTCGCCGCTACTGCTGAGTACCTGAATTCGGATAAAGGAAGACTGGCTGTATTGGAGGTAGTCGCTGCAATGCAGATGTTCTACAACTTCTTGTCGACTCAACCAGCGTACATGGAAGCTGCTGTCAACGATGGAAGAGACGCGTTGGTGCGACTCAAGGAGTTTGTGGAATATTGCAACAAACTTCGTCTGAATTGTTTCACCGCTGATCTTATCGACCAACAACTCGATGAGCCATACAAGATCTACAACAACTCGACTGCGCCAACTCAGAGCTACTGGTATCAGCACTCCGCCAACTTTGACCCCAACTCTTGAATTTTTTGTAGAATAAAAATTGTTTGTTAAAATTGTGTGTTTTACTCCACCTAGGCCAGACGGGACACATCCAACAAATGTGGTTGTTTTCCTCGAGGGCGCGTGGTGTACTGGCTAGCGGCTGCCGTTTTGGTGCGAGCGCTCGCGGGTTCGATTCCTCGGTAGTAAAATTGGTTTTTTTCTTTTTTTCTTTCTTTATGAAGTACGAAAAAGGGTTCAAAAGTGATTTAAATTATGAAAACCAAAATTTCATTAGGCGAACAAAAAACAATTTCACTTTTTTCGGCCGCTTCACCTACATACCTTTCCCCTCCTCGAATTCTCTCTTATCATCAATTATCAAAACGTTGCATATGATGTGAATTGTGTGTGTTCCTTTAATCTCCCTTGCGTACCTTTCTCTCCTTTTCCGTCGAAAGCTTTGACCTGGATTCGCGTTGATAACTGACCCCCTCATCGCTTCCCTTTCGTCGATTTTCCTTTTCAATCGAGATAACAATCATCGGAATCGGAAAAAGAAAAAAGAAAGTCTATTTGGGTTTTACCTGTTCAAAATCATGAAGCTGCCTTTCTTTTTACTACTACTTATTATTCCTATTGGTATGTTTGAAAATCTCCCGTTTTCTCTAGCTCATAATTATGATACTATCTTTTCTTTGACAAGAGATATCTCGGTCCCTGGGAAAGATATCAAATATTTGTCAACTAATAAATTATAGCCCATGTTATTTCACACATTTTACTAGTTTACCATATTTTTCTAACATTAATAGCGACTGAGATAATTGAGGTTGAAATAAGGACACCTAATATTTTGATGCCCAAACGTTGGAGCGCTCAAAAACCACTTAAAACTTTTTGATATGTTTTGAAATTTCGAGAATACACTAATCAAAAACAGAGCATTATATTTGTAGTTGACAAGTTTTTCTCAAATGTTAGCCTAAAAGAGTTATGCCACGTGGAAGAGGCTTACCTCTCCAACGCGCGCTAACTGCAGTAGCGGCGGCGGCGCCTAGATCCACACTTCCAAGTGGCATAACTCCTCATGGCCATATTTTACAAAAAACTTGTCAACTACACATATATAGCTCTATTTTGTTTATTATATTCTGAAATTTTCAGACAAATCGAAAAAGTGTGAACCCTTTTCTTTCCACTCTTTGGTCCTGCCCATTAGAGTCGCCATTGAGCCGCTAATAGTCCGCTTACTGTCAATCGTAGATCAAAAATTCCTCTTTTTTTTCAAAACTTTTATCGTTTTTCATGATCACTATCCCATCACCCTGATGAATCAATGTCCTTAATTTTCACTTTCTCTCTTCTTCTAAATACCGTTTAGAAAAAGAGACTATTTGGAGAAGGAGAAGAGAAAGGAAAAGAAGAGATTTCTCGGAAAAAAAGGAAGAAAGTGATATAAATACTAATCTGATCCCCCGGAAAAATGAACAACAATCAAAAATACCGTAAAACCACCTCCATTTGGTTGCGTCCTCAGAATTATCTCAGTTACTTTTAAAAATATAAAGAAGTTGTCAACTGATAATATGTTTATCATAATATCACAAATATTTTATCAGTTGACACCTTTTTGATATCTTGCACAAGAACCGAGATAATTGAGCTAGAACTTGACAACATTGACTTGTATGCTTTGTGTACACAATGTGTAAAAAATCTACAGTAGGAAATTAAGATATTTTGAGGATTTAATTACAAAAAAAAAATAAGGCTTTTCCAGGATGTCAACTACACGATATGGAAATGACCACCCAGCCTTCCTGGGCGCCAACAGGAAGGTTAAACCAGTTCAATGGATTCGCAACACCTCGACCATCGCTACTACCAGCTAATGCTCAAATGGGTGAGAGCTTTTTTATTTATTTTAAATTTCAAAAATTGCTACAGTAAGCAAGAAGTTTGATCAGCTATATAGCTTGTAAGCCCTACCGTAACCATCATAAAAACAGCCCCCCCCCCCCCCTAACTTTGACCACTTTTATCTCGGCTCCTGTAAAAGATATCAAAAAGTTGTCAATTAGTAAAATTTTGTTGATATTATGATAAATATTTTATTAGTTAATTAATTTTTTATATCTCTTACAGAAAGCGAGATAAATTAAGTCGAGACTGGCGATCAAAAAATTGTTATATCGGAAAAATCGTAAAATTTCAAAAACCCGTAAAAACTAACTAAAATTCACTGATTGCTCTGAAAATTTCCAAATATACAAAACAAAAGTAGAGCTTTATATTTGTCGTTGACAACTTTTTTGCTGAATTTTGGTTCTGAAGAGATACGCCATGTGGAAGCGCCCCTTCTTTTGGCGCCGGCAGTCGTCACTTCCACGTGGTATATCTCATCGGGACCAAATTTTCCTGAAAATTTGTCAACTACAAAAATGAAGCTCTATTTTTGAATAGTATACTCTGAAATTTTCAGGGAAATCAGAAAAATTTGAAACTTTTAAAATAGGCTCCACCCACTTGATCCGCCATTAAGCCGTTTTTAGGCCGCCCACTTTCAAATTTTAGAAATTCAATGTTTCCACCTATTAGATGTGATCAAAATTTTAGTAAAAAAGTTAAAATAGGTGCAAAAATGGTACAAAAAGGTCAAAATAAAATTTTGTATCGAAAAATGACAAATTTTTCTCTTTTTTTGGAATCAGAGATTATGTATTTTGGGTGTCTATGAGTACAAGTGAAAGTTCACACAAAGATCTCTCGAGAACAAAAAATATAGGCCAAACTTATAGACTATTTTTCCGTTTTTCAGAAAAAAAACATGCTGAAAGTGATAACAATACTGCCTTTTGGGAGAAAAATACAAGAGAAAAAAGTAATAATGACATTTTTTCCACTTGACAAAAAATCGTGTTTGTTTGGAGACTAGTTTTTTTCTTCCTTTTTTCTATTGGGGTGATAAGTATCTGACAAAGCAAATATAGGGAAAATAGAGAGGATATATAAAGTTGGGTTCTTAAAAGTATAGAAATTTTTAATTCCAAAAAAATTGTTTTTGGTATTTTTAATAGAAAAAATGCAGACACACATAAACCCTTCAGAAAATTTCGAAAACGAGAAGTTACCTATTTTTTAGAAGAGGTAGAAAACCAAAAAATTTGTTCAACAACTCAACAATCCAATTTTTAAGAAAAAAATTACTTTTTAACTTTGTACTCCACTCGAACAAGTTGCTAGGAGAAATTTGATTTTCTCGTTTTTTATCAACTTTTCAAAGGATAAAAAAGTGCCTAGAACTGATCCGATTTTGTTGAAAATTTCAGAGTATACTAAACAATCTCAGAGCTACATTTTCGTAGTTGACAAGTTTTTTGGGAAATTTGGTCCCGAGGAGATATTCCACGTGGAAGTGACCTACTCTCGCCGCCTAGCGCCGCAGTCGGCGCCAAGATGGAGACGCTTCCACGTGGCATATCTCTTCAGGATCATAATTTACAAAAAAGTTGTCAACTACAAAAATGAAGTTCTAGTTTCGTTTGTTATATCTGAAAATTTTCAGATGGATTGGGCGAGTTTTAGTTATTTTTTGAAGGTGTTGAAATTTGTGATTTTTCAGATAAAACTCATTTTTCGGTTAGTGACTTTATTCGGTTAGTGACTCAATTTATCTCGTTTCCCGCAATAGATATCAAAAAACTGTTAACCGACAAAATGTTTATGATAAGATTAAAAACAATTTACTAGTTGACTACTTTTTGATATCTTTCTTAGAAACCGAGATAATCATCATCTCAATCACCTTCATTTGCTTCTGCAATTCACACCGCACACTTCAACTCAATTTATCTTGCTCCCTGTGAGAGTTATCAAAAAGTTGTCGACTGATAAAGTACTTATCATAACATAAAAAAAACATTTTACTAGTTGATAATTTTTTGATATCTTTCACAGAAACCGAGAAAAGTTAGGGCAAAGTTAGGGGGAAGCTCCTTATACGGGGATTACGGCAGGCTAGGTTTTTTGGAATTTCTGAATCTTTTAGACCCAATTCTAGCTTAATAAAGCAATTTTCCAGTCTACGCCTCTGTGTGGGCCGCCTGGTCCGCTTGGTCCTTCTGCTCCGACTCCAAACGCATCCGTGTCCGAGCGTGCAACACAGTTCGTGGCTTCCGATGCCTCGGGCCTAACCAACAAACCGAAGCATGCGATCCATCGACATCTCCAATTCTCGGAAGACCTCCAAGACCCAATACGATCAATGACTATGATACTGTAGATCCATGGCAAGAGGATCGTGTGGAGGCGTTGAAGCAGCTGTATCCAGATGAATCGATTGATGAGAAGTTGAATCATTTGCCTGATCATGAGAAGGAAAGACTGAGAGCACGTCTACTTCCACCACCAACTCAGATGAGTCATGAGCTTTTGAACAGGCCGGGGAATGAAAGGGATGGTGCTCCAGGAGCAACTCCGGAGAGACTTTTTGGTGCCAGGGCTTTGGGCTCCAAGAGCTTTGCAGTTCCCAATACCCCGATTCAAATCAACGGAAAGGATGCTCTAAAATTTCCAGAACTTCTAGCAGATGATCAATTCTTCTCAGACATTTCCAATGCTGAGAAATCAGTAGTCTCGGATAATCAGAATCAAAATCAAAAATTGGAGGACTTTTCGAAAATAGAAGACTTCCAAGCTTCGGTAGACGCTGCTGAGAATCAACGGAATCTGGAAGAATTTGAGAAACTCGTGGAAGAACATGAGATTCCTAGGCCACCAAAGAATCGCGGAGAGGGGACATTTAGTGCGAAGAAGGCTCCAGAATCTGCTCTAAAAAAAGAATCCGAATCTTCGGAAATGCAAAAATTGGAAGAATCGATGGATGGACCACAGTTCCGGGAGAAAGAGTTTAAGGAGGATGTTTTTGGGAGTATTGAGGACTTGATGACTACAAAGACTACACAGACTACACAGACTACAACTCCATCGACCACCACCACCACGACTACAACTCCAAGGACCACCACAACTACTGCTCCGACCACGACCACAACCCCTACGACCACCACGACCGCCTCGACCACTCGCCGACCGCCGACACGTGTCACTCCACGCCTACCTACAGTAATCCCAGAGGATCATGTAGAATTGGTCACGCCCACAATGGTTTTCAAAACTGCCGAGCAGAAAATGATGTCTCCCGAAGTTATAAACTTTTTCGAGGAGGTGGAGCATGTGATGGTGGAGCAGGCGGCGACGACGAGGAAACCATGTGAGTACAAATACTACAAAAACTACGAGCTACAAACTAAAAAGACTATAAAAACTACAAAAACTACAAGAACTAATATCTGTTTCCAGGGAAGAACGCGATTCACTATGGAGAAGTGTTCCCACGAATTCCATTCGCCACGCTCACTCAAACTCCGCCCCCAACGACAACCACCACGACGCCATCAGGATTCCCAATTCCAGAAGAGATATCGCTTGACACGTTGCACGCGTTGGATTGGATGCTGGCTAATATGACGAAGGCTGCAGAAGAAGGAGGATTGGGAGATGGGTTAGTGACTAAAAAGACTAAACAGACTACAAAGACTACAAACTATGAAAACAACGAACTATAAGGTACAAAGTACAAACTACAAAGACTACAAAGACTGAAACCTACAAAAACTACTCTGATAATTTTTGAAATTTTTGAAATATTTTGAATTTTTAGGGTTTTTGCGAAAACTACAAAGACTACAAACTAAAAACTACAAAGACTACAAAGACCACAAAGACTACAAACTACAAAAAAACTCCAAAATTGCAGAAACGAACTCCGCCTCCGTTTGGACTCCTCCTCGCCAAATGAATCGATTCCTGCATCCACAAAACTCCTTTCGAAAAAACCAAAATCTTCCAAAAAATCGAAAAAGAATCGTGTCAAGACCCACCGTACAAAAGTGATCCAATTGCATTACGGAGAAGTGAATCCGGCGGAAAATGCGGATCGAAAATTCCCGAAATTCCGAAATCGAAATGCGCATCGTGCCAAGATTTTTGGAATTAAGACGTCGTCGATTCCAGAAGACCAACTGAAAATTCAGACGAAGAAGGAGGAGCTGGTGGATGAGATTAATGATTTGAGAGATTTGATGGAGCAAATGGATGAGAGAATTGAGTCGAGATCCGCTCTGATGGAAGAGAATTTCGATAGTTTAGTCAAACCGAAACATGTGAGTTTTCAATGGAAAATTTTGGGAATTTTCAAATTTCTAATTTTGGACAAGTATTTTGGAAAATTGGATCCCGAGGAGATATGTCACGTGGAAGTGACCTAGTCTCAAGGCGCTGCCTCGCCTTGCGCGGCAGTCGGCACCAACAAACGCTTCTACGTGGCATATCTCCGCGGGACCAAAATTTACAAAAATTTTGTCAACTACAAAAATGAAGCTCAAGATTAGAGCTTTAGTTTTGTTGTTAGCGACATTTTTGTAAAATCAGATCTCGAGAAAATATGCCATGTTGAACAGGCACAACTTGGAGCCGCTGCCAACACCACTGGTGGCGGCGGCGCCTCGCGGTACACACACTTCCACGTGGCATATCTCTTCGGGACCAAATTTTACAGAATAGTTGTCAACTACAAAAATGTAGCTCTATTTTTGTTTACTATATTCTGAAATTTTCAGACAAATCCGAAAAGTTTGAACCTTTGAATCAGGTCGTGCTCTACTGAGCCGCCATTGAGCCGTTTTTAAATTGCCAACTTTCAAATTTTAGCGATTTAGGATTTTTTTTAAAAATTAGAAAGTTGTAAATTCTACAAACTTGAAGAAATTCAAAAAATCCCGAGTTTGAAAATTTCTAATTTCTGAAATTCGATTTTTCGAGAAATTTCAAAAAACAGAAAAAAAATCCAAAAAAGTTGAGAATTTCTGAAATTCAAAGAAATTTCAAATTCCACAAATTTTAGAATTTTTCCAAAATTCTGAAAATCCTGAAATTTTTCCAAAATTCTGAAAATCCACATTCGAAGATTTCAAAAATTTAAAAAGTCAAAAATCTTCTAAACATCCTAAAATCATCTTTTTCCAGGAACACGACTCTCCATACCGACATCGACAAGTCTAAATTTTCGAAAATTTGAAGGAATTCAAAATTTTCGAAAAAAGAAAATTTATATAAAAATGTGCAGATCTTACCTCCAAGGAACGTCATCTCGAAGTTGAAATTTTTTTTGTATTTTTAATTACTGATTAATTACTTATTTAATTAACTCTGGACCTAGTTGTGTTTTTGATAATTTAATAAAAAATTTTATTAAATATTTTATTTTCAAAAACGATTATACAAAAAAAGTAGTTCTAACCAGCAGAATCTATTCGGGGGAAAGGAAGCAAGCTATTTACAAAAAACCGAGGAATTTCAAAAAAAATGAGCGGGAAAATATATTAAGACTGCACACACTGTTGCCCGTGTCTCTGGAACTGTCGAAGGGTCTGGTGTCGAACGCCATAGGTCTCCTTGTAGTTTTTGATAAATTCGAACGGGTCCGCGTGACGGCGAGTGATGAATCCTTCGACTTCTTCTTTCTCCAGAACAGGTTCCCAAATTAGGACATCATCGTCGATTCCCGACGTGGCAATGAGGAAGGCTTCTGGATGCGGTTGGACGATGTTCAGAATGTGATCGTCGGCTTTCCAGATTCCTTGAAGTCGAGATGTGTCACGGTTCCAGACAAACATATGGCCACAGTCAGATCCGGCAACTGGAATAATTGGATTTGGGGATTTATATTGATTCGAAGGATCTTAGATTTTCAGATTCCTAGATTCCTAAATTAGCAAACTCTGAAATTCCTAGGATCCTAGATTCCTATATTCTTAGATTCCTGGATTCCAAAATTCTCAGATTCTTGGATTCGTGGGTTCTTAGATTCCTGGATTCCAAGAATCCTTAGATTCTTAGGTTCTTAGGTTCCTAGATTCCTAAATAGATCTTTCGATGCCTGAATTTCAAGTTTCTCAAATGTTGAGATTCCTGGATCGTCAGATTCTGAGGTTGTCAGATTTCTAGATTCCAAGGTTCCTAGACTTTTAGATTCCTTGATTAGTAGATTCTTAAATTCCTAGAACCTTGTATTCTTAGATTTTCATATTTCTAGATTCCTAGACTTCTAGATCCTTAGATTCCTGGATTCCTACCCCCTTACCAATATACTGATCCCTGGAGCCAAAGAAATTCGCTTCTTTGATATCTGTCTGACAATTCGACGTGCCAACGAATCGTTGTGTGTAGTCCATATAACCCGGTTTGCTTGCCAAATTGTTTTGATCTTCGTTTTCTTTTAACTGTAAGTTAGAACTTGCACTTTGAGCTTAATTATCTCGACTCCTATGAGAGGTATCCAAAATCTGTCAACTGATAAATTAGTTATCATAATATCATCAATATTTTATCAGTTGACAACATTTTTCTAGTTACAGTAGTTTTTGAGATATGCGCCTTTAAAGTTTGCATAGCCTGAGACAGCTCAAAGGTGCATATCCCCAAAAACTACTGTAGGTAGAAAATATGTGTTAACTAATAAAATATTGATGATATCATGATAACTAATTTATCAGTGGACAGATGTTGGATATCTTTCATAGGAACCGAGATAATTGAGCTCAAAGTGCACGAATATAGTTGACTTCTCTAAGAGAATTTACGGTAGTTTTTTGCCTTATAAGCCCCAAAAGCTGCTTTAAAGAAGCTTTAAAGCCCCAAAATGCTCCCTGTAACCTACCATCACCACATCCTTCTCCATGTTATCAATCGCTTCCGTTTCTCGATTCGGATACCACTTCCTGAACACCTCAACACACGTCTTCGCGTATTCTGGAGTCTCCAAACTCGTGAAACTTTTGATCAGCCGGAACAACGCCTTTGAGTTTCCTTGATGGATTTCCAGTGCTTTCACACAATCCCGAATGCATGCATAGGTATCGCCACGTTGTCGTCGGACTAACAGAGCAGTCGCCCGGTTTGAATAGCACACACTTCGGAAGGCACGGTCTTTGTAGTTGCGGGAGATCAGTTCTGGAAATCAATCTATATAAATTTTATGGAAATTGGTTCACTACGAAAAAAGTTATGATAGTTTCAAAAATGGGGTTGAGTCAACGGGTAGCGCGACAACCACCTCCGTGTGGCTGCGCCTTCTGTAGCACTCTGCCACTTTGACACTAATTATCTCGGTTCCTGTAAGAGCTAACAAAATGTTTCCAACTAATAAAATGATTGAAATTTTAAGACAATCATTATATCAGTTGGAACTTTTTTCATATCTCCGAGAGGAAGCGAGATAATTGAGCTAAAATTGGGCTATCATTAAAGCAAGCACGGTTCTCAATAGAACGAGATTGCTCACTCCTGAAGGATAGGAGGTTGATAAAGAAAACATTTACATTTGATCTGCATAATTTTCATCAAAATCGGTCTATTAGGAAAGAAGTTATGATAATTTGAAAATGTATTTGAGTCAACGGGTAGCACGACAACCACCTCCGTTTCATTGCGCCTTCTGACGCACTCTGCCACTTCGACACTAATTATCTCGCTTCCCGTAAAAGATACCAAAGTTTTTCCAATTGATAAAATATTTATTATAATATCAGTTCATTGCGCTACCCGGGGAACTGATTTCTGGAGTTCTTAAAGGTGGGGGGACATGAAAAAAATAATGTTCTCGAAATTCCTTTAAATGATGCCCCTCGAGGAGTTGAACTTGTGAGGGCGATGATTGAGGGTGCGGCGCCGCTACCGACTGAGCCACGCGGGCAAAGAGAAAGCGCCTACCCGATTGCATACATAAAGGCGAGGACGACAGCTGTACGCGGAGTGACATTAAGCGTTGTACACCGCCCCGATAGAATGCATACTCTAGCTACAAAAAAACTACGAAAAATCTCCTGTCCCCCCACCTTTAATAGCCAACCTGAATAATAATCCACCGCTTTCGAGAACTTTTTCTCCTTCAACATCATATGTCCAGCTTCACGAAGATCGGGATACGGTAGATTATTTGAACTGATTGTTGGCTCTCCATCTCCCCCCAAAACATCATTTAACCTCTCCATGGTCCGTGGAGCATCGTATGAATCAATTGGGAAGACACAGATGCCTCCACTGTTCCCCTGATTTACAACGACTTCTGTTCCAGTCTTATTAAATGCCACGTGGGTGGTTTGGAATGTATCTGCATCGGCGTCTACTGAAAAAGTGGCCTTGAAAGTTAGCTCTCAAGGTGGGCGGCCGAAAAATTGCTCAACGGCGGCTCAAGAGTGGGCGAGGCCTATTTAAAATTGGCCAGATTTGTCTGGAAATTCCAGAGTATACTAAGCAAAACTAGAGCTTCATTTTTGTAGTTGACAACTTTTCATGAACATCTGACCCAGAGGAGATAAGCCACGTGGAAGCGCCCCAGGCACCGTCGAGAAGAGCCAAAAGATGTGCGGAGCCTCCACGTGGCATATCTGCTCAGGACCAACATTTACAAAAAAGTTGTCAACTACAAAAATGAAGATCTAGATTTGTTTTGTGTATTCCGAAATTTTCAGAGAAATCTAGCCAGTTTGAAATAGGCTCCGCCCACTTGAGCTACTCAAAAAATTTCTGGAAAAATCGTCTTACATGGATTCAAAACCAATAACGGATTGCTGAAATTTCGACGATCATACAGCCTAACGGGCGTTTCGTCGAATCCCACAACGATCTGAAATTGAATTTCAAAAATTAAAAATTTCATGTTAGGACCTACCAAATGAGGTTTGACATCAGAAACCGCCACGGATTTGCATCCATGTGAATCCTCGTTGACCGTCCGAACAACGACTTCAGGAGCTTCTAGACGAGTGTCGAATTGTCTGGAAATTCGGAATTCAGGGAATTCAAAAATTTAAGAATCCAGGAATTTGAAAATCAAAGAATCTAAGAATTTGGAAATCGAAGAATCTGAGAATCTAGGACTCCAAACATCTAGGAATCCAAGCATCTAGAAATCTAAAAGTCCTAGGAATCCAGAAACATAGGAATCCAGAATTCCGAAAATTCTAAAATTCAATCTATACTACAGTATCCATAGCTACAGTAACCCACTGATCTGCAGGCTTGATTTTTCGATTTCACCTTTTGATGTCCAATTCCTTCAGGGCTACAGTAAATTGATTAATTTTTGGATTTTAGACTTTTTGGATTTTTAGGATTTTAAAATTTTAGAATTACTGCAGATGGAAGTACCACGATATAAAACCACATAAAAAGCGCTTGCTCAACGAGAAATATCGGATGGATCCAGTGTTTGGGAATCAGGAGCACTGGTATCAGCCACTGCAGACAATACATTCTGGCTAAAAATATTTTTAATTAGTTAATTTATCGATAATTATCGCAAAAATTCGCGAAAAAACGGCTGAAAAACGATAAAAATTGCGATAATTCCCCCGAGAATCAATCGGGGCAAAATAGAAATGTGTGCAACTGTGCGTCTCGGTGTTAGCACATCATACAGCATAGCTGACGACATGTTGGCCAGCACGAATACATCTGAAATTGCAGAGGTTTTTCCAAACGAATTTCAAACCGATTTTTGATTTTCAAGTTGTTAAAAGATTGCTCAAATATCGATTGTTTTAGTTTTCAGCACAAAATTTGAAGAGGATATAAGGAAAATACGGAAAAAATGGCTAAGAAAAACTTACATTTTGACATTTTTTTAGCTAATTGTTGTCTTGAAATTCCGGATTTCCCCCCAATTTTAACCAAATTTTCGTTGTATTTCAAGCTTTTTTAAAGTAAAAATTTTGAAAAAAAAGTGTTTCCAGGTGAATTATGCTGACCGCATTGGAGAAGAGATATGAAAAGGCGAGATTTGGAAGTTTGTTTCCAGATATCATTGATGAAAATATGCTAATCGATTCGTTTGAGTGTTGTGATACACTTGAAGTGAGTAAAAAATCCTACAATTTTTTTAAATCCGAAAGTTCCTAAAATTCCAAAAATCCTAAAAATCAAAATTTCGAAAATCCTAAAGTTCTAGAAATCTTAAAATCCTAAATTCTTCCAGGGCCACACCGGGTGTGTAAACACGCTCCGTTGGAATCGAAACGGCCAACTTCTGGCATCTGGATCCGACGATCGTCATGTGAAAATCTGGAGAGCCGGATTGGAAGTCGAATCTCTAGCCACTGGACACGTTGGAAATGTGTTTGCAGTCGAATTTCTTCCAGGATCATCGGATAGAAAATTGGTGACCGGAGCCGCGGATCATATAGTTTTTCTTCATGATTTGGAAGTGAAAAATGGGGGAAAACGACGATGGGAGCTGGAGGGAAGAGTCAAAAGGCTATGTACACTGGAACAGGAATCTACTCTTTGGTGGGCCGCGGTCGAGGCCGTTGAGGGTGTACAGTAGGTTTTTTTTCCATTTTTCGGAATATTTGGATTTTTGAATTTCTGGATCCTGAGATCCTTAAAAATTGGAAAGTGTAGATTACTGTAGCTCTTGTCACTGGCGAATCGCTTATAGATTTATTTAGATTACTGTGAATTGGATTGATGTAGTTTGAAGCAACGATGGATTACTGTAGCTGCGGTTTCCTTTAATTGGATTACTGTAGCAAATTGTATGAATACGGTAGCTCTGAAGACATCAGACCTTAGCATGCAATTTTTTGGGTTTTGGATTTTTAGAAATTTTCGGATTTTAGATTTTTCGGATTTTTAGAATTTTTGGATTTTAGGATTTTAGGATTTTTAGGTTTTTTAGAATCTTAGAATTACTGTATTTTGAAGCAACAATGGG